GGCTTTGTGTGAGCACAAACCTTATCCTTAAAATATGCAGTAGCACTTTCCAAGGATCTCAGAATAGTTCTCCTAAGACAAAATATTCAATTGGGAGAAGAATTATCATCAGGAAAGCTTCCTCTTGGAGTGGGTAGGAACAAATACAGAGACCCATAGCTAGATAATATGTGAAGGGTGAGAGATCTTAGAGTACTCAGTCCTAAATGGAGTGTCTCCATCAAACCCCTCCTGCAAGGTTTTAGGGATCACTACATTGAAGGAGATGAAAATACCTTAAGAGCCAAAGGGAATTGTACACTGGTTTTTTTTTGTTGTTGTTTTTAAGATTTATTTATTACATATACAGTGTTCTACCTACATACCAGAAGAGGGCACCAGATTGAATTGTAGATGATTGTGAGCCATCATGTGGTTGCTGGGAATTGAACTCAGGACCCCTGGAAGAGCAGTCAGTGCTCTTAACCTCTGAACCATCTCTCCAGCCCCTGTACACTGTTTTTTAAAGGTGAAGATTGTGTGTGTGTCTGTCTGTCTGTCTCTGTGTGTGTGTGTGTGTCTGTCTGTGTGTCTGTCTGTCTATGTGTGCATGTGTGTTCCCAGAGGACAGAAACAGTGACAGCTCTCCTGGAGTTAGAATTATAGGAATTGGTTAGCTTGCTAAACTCTGGAACTCTGATAGAAGGAGTTAAGTGCTCTTTGCTCCTCAGACCCAGTTGCAGATTTCTTTAACTCTTTCACTTAAAATAAAGAACGAAATCATGACTCTCTAACTGGAAAGTGCCACAGTTACCATTAATCTAAATGCTCATCTCACAAAGAGAATGGAATCCTTGTGCTGAATTTAGAAGGAACCCATTTTTGTCAACTGCTCACAAATTAGTCAAGAAAGTTTTGCTTTAGAGTGGAGGAACAAATATATAAGTATTTATTTACCCAACAAATATTCTCTGAGTTCTTTTGTTGCACCATTGTCCTGGGCTCTGAATCTAGCAATAGACAAATGGTGGGATTGGGCTCCACTACTCTGCATTTTGATTGGTTTGGTTTTCTGTAGTGGTCTGTCTGTTGGAAAGATTTTCCTTGATGAGGGCTGAAGACTGTCTTATCTGCTGGTATTCTATTTCTAATTATAGTAAGTGAGGGGAAGTCGTGGGATTAGGCTCAGTTGAACATCAGTAGTTTGTCCTTCAAACCTAGTGTCCTTTCTGGCATGGCTTCACATCTGAACACTGAGGTCCAGATGATTATTTGCATTTATTGCTGACCTTCAGACTCTGCAGAAGCTGTGGAAGTGATGCACTTGAGATTTTTTTCCTCCTCTTCCTTCCTCTTGCTGTCCCACGAAGGACTCTAAGCACAACACTCCATCTTTTGCATCTCTCTGCTTCCTTGGCTCTGAGGCATAGCTATGGAAAACATTACAGTCTTCTGGCTTTTTGTCTGTTTTAGACCAGTAGAACCAATAAATGACAAGATTACCAATCTTAGTACGGAGAAATAAAGAATGTTGTTAAAACTTGTCAGTTTTTTCATCCTTTCCAGATAAATTTCAATCCCATTTCTTGGAAAAGGAGATCTTACCAAGGCCTTGTTTTTCTTTGTACTGCTGTGTTTACCTGACAGGGAAAGAACAACTACATCAATCATTTTAGGACTCAGAAAATAATGTGGTAATAAAAAGAGAAGTTAACCAAATACATCTTAGAGGTACAGATGTACCTTAAAGGTACTTATAAGTACAAATGAAAAAGAACAGAATATTAATATTTTCTACAGAAACTTAAAAATAAACCATTTAATTCTTATTTTAATAGGTCGAAGAACACATTCAACCACTAGGAAATGTTTTCTATAGTGCCTGGTCTTGTGGTCATTGTATCTGGCATTTGTGTCAAATGTCACAGTGTGTCCAGCACTCTTCATTTGTGGAGCAGAGGCAATGTGGGCCACAGTGAAACTATTCACTGGTAGCTGGTATTGCTCACCTTGAGTTAGATCAACTTGGAGGTAGCCCTGTTATTTCCTCAGGCCAGGTGTATATAATAAACAGAGGATAGGTTGGCTACCAGTCAGGAACACATGTTACGTCATGTAGTTGGCAAGTGGTTAAGAGCTTCCTAGTGTAAGTGGGAAGTAAGCTTCCATGCAGTGGTTGTGTGGTTCTCACCCAGTCTGGATCCTTGCTATGCTGTAAGATTTCATGCTCGTTAATATTTCTCTAAGACCCATTGAATACCACAGTTCATAAAGGCTACTGCTTTGAGTTACAAGCACAGTGATGATTCCACTCATTTATCAATTATGTCCTAATTTGGAAATTCATGTTTTCATTTTCTTGTTTGGTTTTTGTGGTTTTATGCTTAATTAATTTTATTTTTTAGAAACAGAGTCTTTTATATCCCAGGCTGGCCTCAAACTCACTACACAGTATGAGATGGTCTTGAACTTCTGATACTTCCAACTCTACCTGCCCAGTGCCGGGATTACAAGCATGTATGATTGCAGCCAGTTTTATGCAAGCTTGAGAGTGAACCCAAGGTTTCATTCATCTCAGGCAAGCACTTGACCAATTGAGCTACAGACTCGGTTCCCCTTGCATTCGTTCTTACCTTTTAAGTGCATGCAAGCTTTGCCAGAAGCTAGGTCGTGAAGTAAATCTTTTGGGGTTTCATCTTTGTGTTCAACACCTATATGTTAATGGATTTCATTGTGTTTATCTGAGACTTAGTCTCTCCTATGACTGTCAACAATAAATTGAAATAATATAGGAAACTGCAATAAAGTTTAGATCTTGCTGATACACCCTTTGAACTCCATCCTTTTCATTTTTCTGGAGAACCATGGTACCTTCCAACTTTACTTTCTATGTAGGCGGTCCAAAGCTCCAGTTTTGTTCTTCTATGACTTAGGCCCAGGAAAGCCTGTGGCAACAGTCACCTTTATCTTAGAACACATTTAAGTCCTCCTTTTTCCCAGGAAAAAAAATGAAGAGACTGATAATCGTAAAATTATACTTACAGGGAACATGGAGAGATGTTAATTCAGGCCTGTAGCAGGGAGCATCATTCTGCTTGGGTACCAGTGTGGCTCAAATACCAGCATCAGATTCAACTACAAAACTCTGAGAAGATATTTAGAGCCATCAAGTTTAGGAGTTGATAGGTCAAGGCAGTCACCCATGACTGATCTCTCCAAGAGGAGGTCTATGTCTGTGGTTGTGTGTGTCCTTTTGTTAATGAAGGCTAGCTGCTGATGGTTGCACATGCTTTCTAAACCATGACCATATGCTATCTAGATAGTTTACAAAGAAAACAAAGGTGTTTGTAGTCAGAAGACTCGGCAGGTTCTACTCAGGGATGAAGGCAAATTATGAGGGAGGAAAATTTAAGGACAACAATATGAATTATCCTATTTCAAAAAGATTCTTTAAAGAAAGAAACACAATTCAGTCCTATTTAGCAGAAGTAGTATAGTTTGGATTTAAGGAATTAGTTATATTTAAAAGATATGAATCTCCAAAGCAATTTAATGATTATTAATTATCAGATAAGCAATTCATTATCTTCATCAATTATTTTACCCAAAGACATAAAGTCTTTCATCTTGGGCTACTACTTGAAGTGGCAAAGTAAAAATATTTTGGGTATGTTTATGTACACATAAACCATGTGTATCTTCTTTTATTCAGCTGTTTATTGGTGGTTTGAATGGAACCCATCTTCTCACCCATGCAAGCATGTGTGTGACATATACTGAGCTACGTACTTATCTTTTCTCTTATTTTGTTAATATGACCAGGTGAAGTTGTCCAGGAGGAAATTAAAGTTATGAACCTCCCGCCCCAGCTTCCTAAACAACTAGACTTATATAAGCCCATACCACCAGGCCATTTCTCTGTTTTCGGAAAATTACTAGAATTTTTTAACTCATCTAATATGCTACTTCTGAAATGTATTTTTAATCGTTGCAGAATAGACTGTCTTAAGGAATATAATGGCTGCTGTGTCTTCATAAATAGGAAACTCTTCTTTTCACAAAATAGAACAATGTTTTCCATGTTAACAACATCTTCACAGGCCTCCATCTTCGTTGTAGGATAGAACAAACACATTCCTGTGACCTATGAATCAGAAAGTTGTAGCAAATCACAAATCATTGAGGGAACTTCACAATAGAGGTGTCATTCGGATGAGTGTGCTGGTCACCTTGGAATAGCCCCTGCAGATGCACTTGCATTAGCTTAGGGCTGGTCCACAGTTACAGCCATCATGTCTTCAGGGAGGAGGGGGGCTGTGCGCTGGAAGAGAGTGTGGGTGATGTTGCTCACCCAGACAGGAGGTGTATTACTGGAATGGGTGAAACTATGCCTTGCAATAACTCTGCTTCTCTCTTGAGGCCTGGAAATAGCTGCAGTGTAACTCAACACAGACTCGTGAAGAACAGAGGCCTCCTTGTTTGGGGAGGAAAGATTTCTAATAGTTGCTGTTGCAGGACTTCACATCAGTGTTTTCAGGGACATCATGATAGTTGTTAAACTCTTAACACTAATAAGGAATATTGTGTATGGATATAATAGACAGTTTCTCCTTCATTATTAGATGTAAACTGTCCCGATTTCTTCATTCTGCATGCAATCACTTTCTACCTTTGCTGCTTCATTCCCAGTGGAGTTTCTGTTGTGTCTCCCTCCTCTCCCTAGCACCTCACTGCTAATCCTTGTTTTGGAAACAAATCTCCTTGGCTTTTTGACTATTATTGTGGTGCCAATGTCTATTTTACAAATGCTTGGTATCCTGTGCCATGCTGTGAGGTGACAAAATGGCAGGTGTACCCTCACACTTGAAGCTGCTTTGACCAAGTTATCTCAGAATTTTGGCACAATAGGGACATTTGATGTTAATGTCATTCATTAAATGTATGTTGTATTCTGATGGCAAACAAAGGAAATCAACTTTAGCTGTATCATATTTGTCATATTTAACTCTTCTCTTATGTAGGCCTGCCAAGACCACCACTATGACTGATGGAGATTATGATTATCTGATTAAACTCCTGGCTCTTGGAGACTCAGGAGTAGGGAAGACAACATTTCTTTACAGATACACAGACAATAAATTCAATCCTAAATTCATCACCACAGTGGGAATAGATTTCCGGGAAAAACGTGTGGTAAGTTTTTAACTACACTGTTAACTTTATTACCTCTTCTTTTGTATCAAATAAGAATTGAGAATTGAAGTGTTTATTACACTTCAAAATGTCTGTTTTTTATCACATGAAACTCATAACTTCAGAACGTTATTTATTACATTTTCAACTGCCAGTAACATTTTGATAGAAAAATATTGAGTGACACTATCTGTCTTCAAAAAAGTACACAAGACAACTAAAATAAACGAGTTGTTGAATTTGTGGATATATGTTTTCTGTGAATTCTTAAGGAATCTTTCAAAGTTTGATTTACTAAAGTACTGCTAGTGTTAATTCATTGATCTGAGGTAAATTTCTTATAAATTGAAGGATTCACTTCTTTACTCCTAACAAAGAGGTTAAAAGTATGATTGGCAAAGAACTGGAACACGAGGTTTGTAAGTTCTTGCTGAGTTTTTATTTATGTGTAGCCTCAGCCATCAATCACTGGCTTGTTAGGAACAGAATGTGAGACCCATCCATGCTATTTTCCATGATAAGGGAGCTTAAGTGAGAATCACAACACCACTTCTCCTATGCTAGACACTAATGACAGGAAGGAGGATATTGTGACATGTGAGGCATGTAGCATAGGCACATAAGCTTAGCCAGATTTCCTGCCACCCATGGTATTCTTGACTGCCAAGATCACTGTGACTTCCAGTTGATGTTACAAATTCCAAAGGGAAATGCTTGGTGGAAAGCCACTGCATGAAAAGTTGAATCGCTTCCTATGCCTTAGCAAAAGCCAGTAGACTGGGCAGGGCTGCTTCCAGCAACTCCAGGATTCTTCTGACTTCTCCACTTAGCAATGCCTACCAATCTAGGTAGAAATCTTATAAAAATGTGCCTGTAGAACATTTCCACCAAGTTGTGATCATTATCTACAAAGGTTCTCTAAAGAAGAGGCCAAAAGACAGAGAATGAAGTCTCCCAACATAACCCACTGAGAATTTCTGTGAACATTTTTTATAGAAGTCATTTTGAAAGTCATTTCTAAACAAATTTTGTTTAAAATGAGTTTCCCATTCGTAATTTCATTTAAGTTTATTGTAAGTATAAAATAGAAAAGGACTATGGTCTCAATTTGTCAAAATAATAACTAAAAATAAAAACTCTGAAGCTTAAATGAAAAGTTGGTTGTTTGAACCTAGGGTTTTCGTCCTAATCTGATGTCTGCTGCCTCCATGAGGAAATGACAGAAGGTGTCTAATTTAAGTTTACAGTATGCTTAAACTGTGTTGAAAATCATACTGTGCTTGACATTTAAAAGTGAGATATATGTGATACTTAGGGGAAAATAAAGCAAATATTTAATCTGCACTATGAACTTTGATTATAGTAATCAACGAAAACATTCTGAGTGAACCCAGAGAACTACAATGTTGACAAAACCCAAAGCAATGGTAACTTAAGAGGATTGTGTTTTTCAGGTTTACAACACACAAGGAGTAGATGGATCTTCAGGGAAAGCGTTTAAGGTCCACCTGCAGCTTTGGGACACGGCTGGACAAGAGCGGTAACATGAAATTCCTTTATTTCTAGCTACCTATAACTCAGAAAACATTGAAAAGTGAATGTTGTCTAGGAACCTCAAAAATAAATGATGTCCAACTTTCCTACTAATTTCAAAATAGATAGCAATGCCCAATGTGGCAGTTCATTTCTATAACCCTAGTACCCAGCAGTCTGAAACAGGAGAATTGCTTCAAGTTTGAGGCCAATCTAGGTTACAAAATGAGAGCAACTTTGTCTCAAACTAAACAAACAAAACAAAACAAAAACAACGAATGGATATTTGTATAAAGAAATTAAGGCCCCTGATTTCTAGTTGGTCATCCACAATAGAACTGTAGCTTGTGTAGATCTAAACAGAGATGAGGAAATCTACCTTCAAACTTCCTAGTGGGGAGACATTTATCCAGATGTACTCCAGTGAATATGGGGAGCTAGCACTGTTGTAAGAGCTGATCACAGACAGAGTTGAAAAAGAGTTGTTTCACCCTTCTTATTTTTTCTGTTCTCCCAACCAGATTCTTTGTTACATGATTGGTGACTGCTTTTTCTTGCTCAGAGTGATACAGAGAATATATTTTAATTAAGCTCTGTGTATGATGTGGGTGTATTTTCAGACATATTATGTATAATGGATGCATATACATGTGTGTATACATGCCAATGGGAGTGACTGTGGGCATGAATGGGTCACGACATGTAGGTGAAGATCAGAGAACAACCTTGGTTGTTAGAGTGGAGGTCTCCATCATCTACCATGTCTGAGGAAGGGTCCCTTCCCTTGTTATTCTCTGATGCACATGGTAGACCAGCTGGCCCACAAGTTTCTTGGGATCCTCCTGTCCCCACTTCCCAACTCATTGTAGGAGCATGTAGATTATAGATGCATACTACTATGTCTGGTTTTGCATGTGTTCTGGGGATCCAAAATGATCTGATGGTGCTTGAAGCATACCGCCTACTGAGCGATCGCTTCATCCCTGAAACCTTTAATCTCTTTCCCACCTTCCTAACCCTCTCCTTTCCCCAGCCTTGACTCAATTTCCACCTTCCCACTGAAGCCAGTAACAAATCCCACTTCCTTCTGAACCTCAGTGACACCTATATTCTGCCACTAAAACTCTATTAAATGAATGTTATGCCACGGCTTAATAAGGTAAATTTTCTGTTATTTTTCAATCTCTATCTGCTCTTAATTGACTCACTTGTGGCTATCATATCCCAACAAAACTGTGAGCTGCATAAGGGAGGGATTCTTCCTAGTCTTTCAACATCATCTTTACTGTCTTATGCAAGATAACAAACAGTACATAGAAACATTGGTTGCTTAGAACGTGCAGTGATCATTCCATTATTCAATGAAAACATGTTTCTTTGGGACCCAATTTCAAAGTGTTAAAGACCCAAATCTAATAAAATCTTCTACTATCAGATTGAATAAATGTGGCAATAGAATGACAGCAAAGATATGTAGAAGACATCTTGCCCCTGATTCTGCATCATATGTCTTAGAATGCTGATGCTTGTAAACACCCATATTTTTGAAATGCATCCAAAATGTTCTCGCTTTCAGTGAGTGTAAACGCCAGGAGAGGTGCTGGGCCCTCTCTGTTAGCTTTTTTGACTGTGAATTCCATTTACACACACCCTTCAACACTGCTGGTTCTTCCGAAGTCATTCCTCATAAGAGCCTCTTTGCATGTGTCAGTTTTGTTGTCACAAAGATGTATGTTTTATAGACCAATTTAATTCATTTTTGAAGAAGCAATATGAAAAAAATGTGGTTCCCATATGTTCCTGCACATGATATGTCAGCCTTGCATGATGGCCGACTTCTCTCATCTGTCCCCTTAATACAGCTGCATTGTGAGGGACTGGAACGAACTGTCTTAGTAACTCTTGGTGTATTAATCCCTTGAGAATTTTGCATGTTGTGGATTTAGAGTGTAGCAACAAGATAAACAATACCACAGACCTCAGCCCTATGCCTCAGGGCTTCCGGCAGTATAATTCAGGTAAGGGTAATAGTCATTGATAAAAGTCAATGGTGGGAAAGCAGGAAAATACATAATCCTATATGAACATAAAGGGTCCAACCCTTGTGCCCCTCAAGGGATAAAGAAAAACAAGGTGCCTAATTCTCAGGTCTATTGCTTTTCACGGTCAGCTTTTTCCACCTGAGTCACTGACTATAGTGAGATGGGAGAGGAGTATGTGTACCCAGAGGTCAGTTGCAGCATTTCTTCCAGGGAGTAATAGAAAGAAGGGCAACAAAGGATAAATGGTACAGGATGTTAGCCTGCTCCTCAGCAGCAGAGTCTTATTTGTGCTGCTTTTTAGTGAAGAAAAATGTGCTTCAGTCCGATGACTACCAGAAGCATGCATTTTAAATACTTCATCATTAGCTGGGGGCAATGAGGAAAATAACACACACACAAAACAACAATGATCACTTTTCACTTCTCCCAGCCACATCAGTATATTCGTTAAGTAACAATTTTGTGGGCATAGTGTTTCTATAGAGAGAGCTATTACAGAATGCCTGCAATCTCTAAGAACTCCCAGGCAAAGGCAGAGATAGACCTACAAGTAATGCTTTTGATTTTTGCAATCTACAGTTTTGCATTACAGAAATGCTGGCAAAGAAACAATTGATTTATCTCTTCCCCCATATTTCAAAGGATAATTCTGATTTTTAATAGCATTTGATGCTGTTTAAAACTTGCAAGAATAGTGACTTTTTACTGTACTCTATCTTTTTCTTATTTATTTTAATATCAAAATGCACTTTGTAAGTAAACAGCATGTTATGGGCAACGAAAACAGACTGTGTTCTGAATTGGAAAACCAGCTCCTTTTCCCTTGAAGCTTACAGAGTAGTGTAGACACTGGACAAACAATCATTCTCAGCATGCCCCCAGGACAGCTGTCTGAAGACAGAAGGTGGTAAGTGAGCCCTCCAGGAAGAGGCTAGTCCCAGAAGAAGGCTCCTGGGGGAAGCGGTGTTTCCACTGGTAAGCTATGTTTACACTCATACACAATGCATGAGGGAGTGTAATCCAGGCTAAAGGACAGGCAGAGGAAGAGGAACGACTAATGTGAGGCAACCCACAGAACAACCAGCATGTGAGAGCACCCAGGGGGGACAGTGAACTTTCTTAAACTAAGAGAAGATTAGCCTGCCTGTGGGAAGTCTGAACGAGATGAGGCCTAATGATATATTGGTGAGGATCCTGCAAAGCCTTGCTGGCTTCAGTAGGGTGTTTTGGTGCTATCCGAGGAGCCACGTGTAATCATAAAAATGTTAGTGCAAGAATCACAAAATCAACAGGATGAAATGATGGCTCCCCAAACTGGACATGGGAAGTTTACTAAGATGGTAATTGAGGGTGAGAGATCATGGGTGTGAAGCTAGTGTGTAGGAGATAGTATAATGAGATGAACCAATGAAGAAGATTGTGTTGATGAATCATAGACAGTAAGGAGGGGAAGAGGAAAAGGATTGTGTCACCAACAGGATGAGAGAATGCACTTGCCAGAAAAAGAAGTCAGTAAGGAGGGCAGTTGGGTTTAAGATGTATGATTCTAGAAATGCCTGCATTTTGTCTATATGGAAAAATTTCTAAAGCACGAATTCAAAGGATAGCAAAAATCTATCTACGTATCTTGGGTTGTTCAACATATAGGCTACAGCTAAGCTAAGGGAGCAAATGAAATCTCCAAGGATGTGTGCAAAAAATGAGAAGGGTCCAGAATAGAAATCTGACAAAACCAACATGAAATATATATATATATTAAAATGAGTGGCCAAAATTAGGAAATAAATGAGGAGAGCAATGCTTCTCTATTTCAAAGCTAGGTGTGTTTCTGTAATTCCATTGTTAACTTCAACCCTTCCTTATGTGCATTCTCCAGTTCTGCCCAATGCTGATGCCATTGTGGGTATCGGGCCATCTTTATCATCACTGCAGAACTAGGGCAGGAGCAAGGGAGGGGTCAGTGAGAGCACATCTTAGCATTTGTATAACAGGGCACTTCCAGAATTCTTCGCTGTGAATGAATATTCTCACTTGCTTTTCCCGCCTCCTGAGTTTCTCCTTTGTCCTTCTTTAGGTTCCCCCAATCATCTTCCTCTTCCTCATGATTCACACACACACACACACACACACACACACACGCACACGCACGCACACACAAGCACACACACGTATGCACACACAAACACACACACACACCCCTGAAGGAGAGTCCCCCCCCCAAAGGATGCTTGAAAAAGAGTTCATCAGCCCTTCTACTTCTGAGCTGTGGTGTGCTTTGCATGCTCACAAAGGTTCTCATTCTCAGCCTAATTACAGGCCTGCTTTTCTTCTGTGCACAGACAAGAAAACTTGAAAAGTATAAGTTCAAGTCCACTACAAATGGGCTAAGATTTTAATTGTGGCCCAGAGGAAGCCATGTGTCAAAAACAAAAAAGATTCCAAGAGGCTGTGGTGGCATTGGGTGATTACATGGAACTCCATCAGTTTCATGCTACCATAGACCCTGAAAGTGGTCTTTAAAAAGTAATCTGCTAACAGATCTCCTCTCTTTGCCCGACACCCATCTTCTGACCTAGGCTCACATGTCCCTAGAGTAAGATAAGGGCTTGGCCTGGAGACAGCATCTATGTGTGGGAAGCAGTGCTGTCTGTCCTGTGAGTGTGAGTTTGTGTCTGAGAACCAGTCTCTGTGCTTCATTGGCAGGTTCCGCAGTCTCACCACCGCCTTTTTCCGAGATGCCATGGGCTTCCTATTAATGTTTGATCTCACCAGTCAGCAGAGCTTCTTGAACGTCAGAAACTGGATGAGTAAGTGGGCTGGGTAATGCACATGGGCAGTTTCTCTGGGACTGGGCAGCTCTATTTGCTTTTTTGCCTTGTGGGAATGCAGCCAGAGATTATCTGGGAAAAGACATGAGCAGAGTGTACCTACCCTCTGTCACCTTCAGAGGGGTGACTTCTGTGTCAATAAGCAACCTGGAGTACAATTCTGTTTTCCTTTGACAGTCTTCTTAGAGAAGGCCCATGTGACTATCTCAGGACTAAGATTTTTAGTATTCTAGCTAAGCAGCCATTAATTTCATTTGTCCAGTAAATCTTGGGGATTTCTTACAAGATGAAAGATAACATGTATGGTAGTAAACTTGACTATGCAAGACAGAAAGAACATTCATGGTGTTTCCTGGGAGGGGACACTGGCACCTAGACATGCTCAGGGGTGATGAGGTTAACTAAACTAGGAACTACTCCAGAGAATAGTCAGTCGTGATGATAAGGTATGGTGCAGGAATCACACAGTTCACACAAGGTTTTACTTGAATAAGATGTGATAAAGGGAGATGAATAGGATTCTCAGTCATGAAATGCTTGCTGTGTATGCATGAGAACTTGTGTTCAATTCCCAGAATCCATGCAATAGTGGTAGGATGCAGTTCTACTCCAAGCAGTAGAGAAATAGAGATAGGAGGTCCACCAGGGATTTTTAGCCAGCCACTGGATACACAGGATTTGAGAGGTATTTCAAGAAGCAAGTAGACAAAGGGCACTCGAGGAATAGAATGCTATTGAATTTTGGAATCTAAAGGCAAGTGCGTATGTATGTGTACATATACATCTATAGACATATATGTATATACACATGAATACACAGAAAAATAAATAAGTTGTCCAAGTATGGAGACAATTTAAATAGAGAAATATCCAGCCTTCCTCCATAGCTCCTTTTCCATAATCCCTCAGAGTCTATGACTTTATCTCAGAATAAAAGCCAAAATTGTTCAGGTACATCCATGAACACTTCCTAACCCTCAGGCACACTCAGAACAGAAAGCCCACTTCCTCTTAGAGATGTTTGCCTTTTCCATCCCCTTTGCCTGGATTTCTCTTCTGCAGCTGAAACTGTGTGCTACATCTTTCCTTCCCAAGACTTTGCCTAGGCCATGTGCATCTTTTCAGAGAGGCCTTTCCTAACCTGCCATTCCACCTAATGGAGTCCTTGCCATCACTCTGTGTCCTTTCAACACTACAGAGTTCATTTGGACACTGCCACCTGCAAGCCTTTTTACAGATTTTTGCATTTACTTGTATCTTTTATTATTCATATGCTCCGAGAAAGATAGGGCTTCACCTGTTTTTTCCAATGCAATATTTTGCACCTTTCCTGGCACTTTGTATATGTTCAGACTCTAGCTATGTCTATCTATGTCTACAGAACACATTACACAAAATTAATTATACATTAAATACAACTAAAAATTAATGATGCATTAAATATAGGTAAGATTTTATATGTGTTTTGAATGTGAATTCAGTAACCAGTTTCAGTCAATAGGGAAAATATCAATAAAGCCTTACTTTCTTAATTGCCTCTCCAAATTAATGTTTACCCTAGGATCTGCTTTTATTTCCTTTGAATGTTGTGTGTCCTTATCCAAATTCTGGTACCATGATTAGATTCTGTTGAGACAAGGAAATAATAAGATTATTAGATTCTTTCAGAGAATGGTTTGTTTGTTGTTTTTCAAGGCAGATGGTCCGCTCCCTCAAGTATCCAGGAAGATAGTATTGGGATTTAAAATAATTAATTGCCATGTCTAATAACCTCTGGGTTTCTAACATGAAAATCTTTGATATTACAGGTTAAATCTTTGTGTGATTCTTCTAGTCTTGGCTACATGATACATAGCAGTCCTTTATGAGGTGGAAGACACAGGTGGACTGGTCTCTCTTTCCTCTCATTTTCTCCCCTCACTTCCTCCTTTCCTCTCTCCTCCCCACTTCATCCTTTCATTCCTGCCTTTGTTAGTTTATTCTCTCTCTGTCTCTCTCTCTGACTCTCTGTCTCTCTGTCTCTCTCTCTGTCTCTCTCTCTCTCTCACACACACACACACACACATACACACACACCATGTTTATCTAAAGAAAGTTTTATCTTAAGCTTGTTTTTGCATGAATTTCTAGTTCTTCAAAAATCTGACCATTCCATAGATTATCACTTTGATGTCAGAAGAGGGGAACAGAGCCTCCATCTAATGACACAAATGAAAATCATGTTCTATGTCCAAGTGGATAGCTTAGATCAAGGCTGATATTCATATCTGAAGAATCAATGGCAGGAAGCCACATAGGTCACAGGGCAAGCTCCCTGGTATAGGTAAGCATGTTTAGGTATTGGTTCAGGTATTTGCTGTGTGCCTATCTGGCAGCGTTACTGTCTGTAATTTGTGAGGCATCAGCTCCATTTTATAGATAAAGAAACTATGAGGAGAGATGGCCATGCTGCAGGTGAACATCTGGGTTAGGAATCTGGAGTATGAGCAGTCCTTTGACATCGCTTGCTTGTGACTAACTCACTCCTTCAATCTGCTTTCTTACCAAGGCCAACTGCAAGCAAATGCTTACTGTGAAAACCCAGATATAGTATTAATCGGCAACAAGGCAGACCTGCCAGACCAAAGGGAAGTCAATGAACGACAAGCCCGGGAGCTGGCTGAAAAATATGGGTAAGTCACGTTCACTGAGAACCATCTAACCTTGTACACAGACAAAACAAAGACATGAGACAGACAGTTAAGGGAATCCCTGTGGATCAGAAACAGTGGTGAATTAAAAGACTTCGCAGGTTGGGAAGATGGCTTACTGGGTATAGTGTGGACCTCAGTTTAAATTGCTAGCACTAGGGTAATATGATAGAATGTGTCTGGAACCACAGTGCTGGGAGAAGGGATAAGTTTCATTAGTCACCCAGTCTAGATAAATTGATGAGCTCCAGATTCAGTGACTGACACTCATAAGCGAGCAAGCTTACACATGCATACATATACCACACACACACACACACACACACACACACACACACAACCTCCCTTCCAGAAGTCATATTAATAATAGTTTCTAATATTTATTGAGTCTTTATCATGCATTGGCAATTGTTGCTGGACTTCAGGCCATTGATTTCCCTGTAGCCATGTGTAGGAGACACTGGAGTCACCACCTTTTTCATAAGAAGGACTGAGTCACAGAATGGTTAAATATTTGGTAGAAGGCTAAATAGCTACTAAGTAACAGAGCTTAAATTTAGTCCAAGAAATCTAGATCAAAGCTTTTCTGTCTCTCACTTGACAGTTACTTAGCTGAGCAGAGAGCAGTATCTGTTGTGGCCTGGTTAATGGAACCATCTCCCTGGGTAGACTTGACTGGCAGCTGAAAAGAAGCTCTAACAAAACCAGCCCATGTAATTGCAGATTGACTTACAAGGCAGAATCTGTCAGTGACTTTTAAACTTGAAGCAGTTTTATCACCTGCCAGGAAGAGCTCATTCAGATATTTAAAGTTTAGATCTTCTTGACCCTGTTCATTCTAGATAAATGCAACTTTCATTCCTGTGAGTATTACATTCAATGCATGCAGCATTTTAAAGCCAAGTTTCTGGGTGATGGGTCAGAGGGAAGTGGCATGGTAGGGGTGCTGCTGACCGCCAGTTTAGGCATTTCTCCTCCTGGTTTTGTTTACTTCATTGTGTTAAAGCAGTATGATGCCTTGGCTTCAGCTTCCTGACCACTCCCTCTAATGGTTTCCCACACACTGGAGTCATGACATCATAAAATAATAACTCACCAATTTTTCTTTAGTGAAAACAAAAGCAGCAAGCAAACAAACCAAGAAAGTTTGCAGCTTGCCAGCAGAAACTAACACTAAGATTTCTTTGCTAGCCATAAATTGCATGGCATTCACTTGTATGTCTTGTATCTCTTCTGATCTCTTCATTAAAAACATTAAGATTTTGTGTGCAACTGATTCCTCTTGAGAAGGCCCCGGCAACATTTGGATGGTTCTTTTACCTCTAGGTACCTCTCTTTCTGTTAAGTCTTGTGTTCAACTTAAATTTATACCAAAATATTTGTTCTCAAAGAACAGAACTTTAAAAATTAAAATGTAGTTACATCATTGCCCTGTATATAAATGCAACCTGCTGAGTTTGTTTAGTGTTGCTCGTGTGTATGTTGAGCATAGTGGGGCTGATCTGTTGGGATTGGATAATTATTTAGGGTGCTCATCTCTGGGGAAGACTAACTCTTTCTCTGTTGGCAGTTCTTAATTGACTACTTCTTCATCTAGTGGTGGGACCCCATACAATTTGCCTATCCACATTAGCATTTCAAATGGTGTTGTCATTGTCCAGCTTCTATTTAGGCAGCCATATTGTTGGAGTATCATGGGTGTAGCTTCCCTGTCATTTCTAGGAGACAAAATTCCGTAGCAGACTCCCTTAATTAACCTCATCTCTGGCACTGGAAAGATAGCTTAGTAATTAAGAGCACTTGGCATTATTTCAGAGAACCAGTTTGGTTCCCAGCATCCATGTCTGGTGGCTTGTAACTCCAGCTCCAGGGGACTTGACACATTCTTCTGGGTTTCTTGGGCGTGTGTGTGTGTGTGTGTGTGTGTGTGTGTGTGTGTGTGCATGTGTGTGTGTTTACTTATTTATGAAAATAAGTAAAAGCAAAATCTTTTTAAAAATAAGCCCCAAATCTGATTTAAAGTGATTTTGTATGAGAATATTACTATCTGTATTATTCAAGAGTAGAGTAAGTTTACAGTGTCACAATCTGTTGACCATTTTTATTGATGATAATATTGTATTATTGAAGAATTAATGAGTTTGGATAGTAATAAGACATGATGATTTCATGAAGTAATATGTTTGTTAATTAGCAAGAGTTAATTTTCTATGATGCTTATGCACTTCAAAAATACATTATATATGATTCATAGATATAATTTTACATGTCAGTCTGAAAAATCTGTTTTTGTTTTTCTATGTTAGCATACCATACTTTGAAACAAGCGCAGCAACGGGTCAAAATGTAGAGAAGTCTGTGGAAACCCTTCTGGACTTAATAATGAGGAGAATGGAACAATGTGTAGAGAAGACACAGGTTCCGGACAGTGTCAATGGTGGAAATTCGGGAAAGCTGGATGGGGAAAAGCAAGCAGAAAAGAAATGTGCCTGCTAGAGACACTCATAGGAACCAGTGATGAAGAGCACACCCAAATACTATGTCCTGAAAGAATGCAAACCACAAAGTTTTTGTTGAGTAGCTCACAAGCAATGGCATGTCTTTCTCTTCCTACCCCAATCTATTTTGATAAAACACAATAGTCAATAGTGTTAAAAGAACTGTACTGTTAACCCTGGATCCCTTCCAAACAAAAATCAAAGTTTTCCTAATTTGGTATCACCATTGTAGATGCTCGGTTGTATTTTTATAAAGAAATTGTGTGTATGAGAAGTATCAGTGAGTTTTAAATGAAAGCGCATATTACCATAAGCCTGGAGAAAGGAATCGGCCAACTTAAAAAAAAGAATATGAAAGGATAAATTCTGTTCGCATCTATTTATGTGGAGTATGATTCATACTTCTGTATTTGCACTGGAGAAGACATATTCCTAAAACTGGACACATAACAATGAATTCTTTGTGGTTTATTAAGGATGGCTACATTTACCCAATAAGCTGCACTGATAAGGTTGGGAGAAGATGAATGTCAGACTTCCTGTAGGAAATTGTGTAATAGCGCCATTTTTATATTTCTCATAAATGGCAGAGTGGCATGAACAGGATCATGGAGGAAAAGTATAAAGTACATTCCATGGAGGAAAATGCAACATGGGAATATGGCATTTGAAAAGGTAACATTAAATGGATCTTTGAGATAAATCTGAGAAAGTGACTTAGCCAAATTTCAGTGAAGCTGATAAGAAGCTGGCATTACCAGTTGGGTTCAACAATGCCTTCAGAGGCTCCAACTTAAATGATTCAAATTTCTAGCATTGCTTCTGATGGTGCCCAAGTTCACATTTCATTTTTTATTAAATTCTTTCAAAGAGTCACAAGAAAAACTAAATCATTTTATTGAATATATCTTACAAATGTAGTTAAAACTTAAGATTTAGTCTTGAAGTTTCTAAACATAAAATTTGTTGGTGATAGAAAGCAAACAGTGATTATTAATTGTGGGTTTTACTCCATTTTAGAAAAGTGCTAGAAATTCTAAGTTTTTCCCTCTAAAGCCATACTCACCCCTGCCCTGAGACAGTTACAGCAATGAACGTATGTTCATGGATCAATAACTTCAAACTAATTATGGATCAGTAACTATGGTCACCTTGAATTTTTCATGTTATCAATCACCAAAAATCAGTAATACCTCATTCTTTATTATAATGTTTTATTTTGCCAAGAAGAAAAATAGCTGTATTTGAGATGTTCTTGAGAAAACAACAAGGATTAATCTGTGGCTCATCTAACCAAAACTATAATCAGTAGTTTTAGTTTTCCTTGAAACTGTCTTTTCTTTCTGGCATTAACCACAGAATTATTTCCCATTGCCTTATTCGTATCATTGTGAAAACCCATTTTGTATTAGTTTTATTAACCTTAATTTGGTGTACAGGTAAGCCAATCATATCAAAGTGGTATTTATACTTGTTGGTCATCTTTACCAATAGCAAGACAAATTGCTTCTAGTTTTCTTTAAGCTTATAATTAGTGACAGGATAGTTTCTCATCCTTTAAAACATTTTCAATCTCAAATGTTTACATAGTTTGCCTCCTTTGAAAGTTACAAATATTACAAAGTAACATCCCAGTGCCATTTTAAACCTCTTCCTGATAACCTCCATCTGATATCCACTCAGTTTCAGAAATACAAACATATCCAAAAACATGTCTACAAAAAAATGTTTTTAAGATAAGTTAGATCCAGAACTGTGCCGCTAATCAGCACAATGTGGAAGCTTGTATGGGATTCACCCCTAGTACAATTCTCTGTGCTAACAGCCCAATATCTCCAACGTTTATGACTGATTCTAGGTTAGTATTCCCTTCAATTTCCACTGTCTGGGGTGTTCTTCTTGATCTCAATGCCTGTGCCTTGAAGGGGGAACTCAGTAAATGTTTTCAACATGTCTTTTGGACAGAAAATGGGAAGAAGTGACCATAGTTATGGAAAAATGTGTTGACTGCTGTAATATCAATCTATTTCTGGTTTTGATTCAAATTATGCTAGTATTTCCATAACTGTTTCTCTTGTGTTCCAGTTACACGATTGATTTGCTTATTCCAAGAGTCTTTCACTGTCCTAGTGAATATTTTTCAGAACCTGCCATAAGAGCATCATTGATAACTGTAGCAGAAAGCAGAGGGCCACCCTGATTATAAATATGGAAATGTGCCTGTAAGAGTAACAAGTATTGGGTAATAAACTCAAGAGTGTTGACATTTCAAGCTGCCAAAAATGAAAATTCTTTACTTATAAACTCTTGGTCTAGAAATATTTCCATCTATAAACTTGAACATCTGACCTTGAAATCTTTGTGACCATTGCTAGAAATTCATTCCCCTATGATTTTCAGATCCTAGTTCTATATATTTCATTACATAACTTTGTATCGACCAGGTGCCATGGATATTCTTTTTTTTTCTTTTTTTGGGAGGCTCCTGCAGATTAATAATGGGAATAAAGATAAGAGAGTGAGTTCAAATTCTAGTCAGAAACCAAGATGAAATAGTTTGAGTAGATCAGAGTGGGGGAGCATTTGCCTGAAGTTCTACTTACTGGGGAGCTAAGAGAATCTATCTCATGAGCCTGGAAGTTAGAAGCTAGCTTAGCTCCTAGGGTGGAGGGTTACGGTGGTAGTGGTAAGAGAAGTAGAGTGTGACCCTTTTTCTTTTGCCATGGATATTCTTAAAGAACTCCATATTTTTGTCCCACTACAACATGTATGTTCAGCTGTTTCCTCTACCAATTGCCTCCCAAATGCTTTTAGTGAACTGTATTTTATTTTTGAGAAGTATGTAATTTACATGACACTTTTTTCTATACAGAGACCAAGTCTAGAGTGTTTACACTGGTTGATGTTTACATTGCCCAAATTCAGTGCCTCAAACACATCTGTGACCAGGTTTGTCTCCAACCACATAACTCATTTTCTCTAATCATGGGTCTCCAAAAGGCCTCACAGAGACAAAAATGTAACAGAATGCCATGCGATATTGTCAACAAAAGATGGAAGAGCATTGTTGGCATCTGGAGATTATTGCTACCTTCCCCTAACCTTTCACATATTAGACATTTCTTGAGAGTTAACTATAAATTGGTATAACACTATTTTTACTCTAACACAAGAATGGTCTTTTGAAAAATATACAAAATAGTGAAGAAAATATATATTGGTCTTGATCTGACTATTGTAATGTGTCCTGACTAAGTGGGGAAAATGCTGAGTGTTGGGAGATGAACTTGGATCTCTCTGTAATAGCTTCAAAACTCATAATTTACTACTTAGGCCAATTTGCTATAAATTTACTGCAAAAAAATCTCCACCCAAATCAGCATTTTCTAAAGTACTTTATCTGTCGAATTTAACCAGAAAGGGCATTATATGCACCAGTAGGTGGCTTTGTTCTTCTGTACAGCTATTATTTGCCAGGCTGTGCAGATATAAGATGACTGGTTAACAATTTTAATCAAAGTGTTGTTGTCATTTGTATCGAAAGGAAGGAAGGAAGGAAAGAAGGAAGGAAGAGAGAGAGAGAGAGGAAAGAATGAAGGGAGGGAGGAAAGAAGGAAGAAACTTGGCTATAAACAACAGGACAACATTGCAATAGATCTATAATAACAACCTCATTCCAAAGACATTTAAAGCTCCAGAGTGAGTCTTCTAGGACTCAACGGATTGTATGATGCTGGGGCATCTTCTCATTGATATCCTAGGGTTCTAGTTAGAGGAAGCTCTGTGGTAATGCCATGTGTGCCTAGGCAAGCTGAACAACCTGGGAGTGCCTGTGAAGGAGACCATTCACTCTCCTGTAACTCTCTCTTCTTAAGAAAGAAAAAAATGCCTTCCTTGCTGAGTATCACACCCAATGTTAGAGGACAAATTGTCATCAATAGAGGGTTTTAGAGTTATGTTCCAACACTTAACCTATAAAGAAGTAAAGTTCCAAGCCTCTGGCTTGCTAAGATATTTAGTAGTTCCTTAAAGATCTGGAGTGATACAAGCTCAGAAGTAGGGAAGCTGAGTAGTATGTTTGGGGACTTGGGTTTGGTCTTCAGGCAACAGGGGGGCAGGGAGAAGAAGAGAGAGTTAAATTTAGTCAAAGTGATAGAAACCCTGATTTCAATTTCTACAACCAAGCTTTTCAACATTGAAAGTGGCCTAGTAAGAAAGAAAAAGCTTTATCATTTAAAGAGAGCTTTGTCATTTTTAAAGATGCAAAGAAACTCTCTACAGTTGCCTAAGCATTCATTATATTATATTTTTCTTCTTGGTATTTGACCACAGTGATATTGGCTCATTTCTGCGGTGACTTCAGAGATCTGCTACCTGACTATGATTATTGGGTAGTAACTGAGAATTATCTCAATTCATTGAGCTGCCTGTCTCATAGTATGGAAATGATAAACACTGCTGGGTATAGAGAAGATTTTATTTAAAAAATGTTGTCATTGAATTCTTGAGTGGTGTTCAGCAACAATGACGTTATTGATCAAGGACTACAAGAAAAAATAAGAGTGACAAGCTAGCTAGGTCAGGCCTTTCAATATAGGAGATCATGGAGAAGGTTGACTTAGGTAGAGAAAGAAAAGATTTATCTCTTTTAAATTAAATCTGTAGAAATGCTTTCTCATTATTTTATCTGCTTAGTGGAGTTTATTATCTTAGAACTAAGGTAAGAAAAATGTATGACTACCAAATATTTAGGGTACATAGAAGTATTTTATTTTCTACATATCAGTCTGTTATTTTTAATAATTTATGTTTTAATTTTCAAGCAGTGACATTTAAAGATTCTTTATTGCCACTTTTCTTTGAACCAACAGTATATGGCTGAAATGTTTTATAGTTTCATAAATGAAAAGATCATTAACAAAAAAAATGAGAAAGAACTACGGTAAAACATTAGCACTGAAATGGTGGAACTATTTAAAAGGACTTCAAGTTGTAGGTATCACCCTTGGTTTAAATTTGCTTTTCTGCCTCATTTCCTTTCTAAGAGGTGGCCAGTATGTCTTGGCTAACTTAGTTGTTCAATATTCAGAGGTCATCCATATTGTGGCTAGTATCTCTTGGTTAGCTTAGTCATTCAATATTCTTAGTAAATCCTACAGGAGTCAGTGTACCTGACCTTCACTGAATGGCTCTCTATTTAACCAGCACCTGGTGTCCTCATGTCAAACATATATACTAAGGGACTCAGCTATATATGCTTATTATTTTGTTCCATGTGATTCTTGTTCCCAGATGCTCCTTGATGTACAGTCTGTTGTAGAAAAGAAAACAGCCAGAAATGACAACTTCATGACCATGTGGCTTCTTTCATACAGAGCTTAACAAACTTTCATTAACTCATAGAGTTCAAGTTAGGTTCCAAACAAAGGTACAAAAGAAACTGACCCCTTTAATAAACAGACACCATTATAATACACTAGGAATAACAAATTTTCTCCTAACTTGGGCCACTTGTCATGGTAAGATGTATAGCAGGCCTAACATAGTAATTGCAGTAGGCTGCTAAATGGATGTCAGTCACCTTGAGGTCACTGCATTTGATTGAAAATGTATAATGTATCTTACTGTTAGGAAAAAAGTAGCTCTGTTTCAAATAATGTGTCATCTTGTATTTCTTTCAAGGAGACCAATTAGATTCAATGTAGGATATTACAAGTTGGTTAAAATCCATGTACAAATAAAATTTTATGTCTGAAAGTTTGTTGTATTTGAACTTAAGAAAAATAAATTGTCCTGCTTTACTTTATGTGCTAAAAGTAGATTTTCTGACAACACTGAAGTGCTTCATGGTATTTCACCAATTTCTGTTCCAGTAATATTATCCATCTATTTAACTTGAGCATGTTTGTTTTGTCTGCTTTCAATACTGATCTCAATTTTGTCTAATGCTTTCAATGTAACCTAAGACTTTGAGTGTGTATTATTCAATGTGTTCCCAAACAGGCAGTGGTTCCAGACAGACACTGTAAGGTCATTATTCGTTGTATCAAAGTTCCAGTGACTTCACAAATCATAGCAGACCATGATTTTGTGGTGTCTGGGTTTGAGTACTACTGTTGAGAACTACTTAGTGATTGTCCCTGCACAGTTTTCAAATAAAATGGTGTTTTTATCAAGTATTCTGTTGTATTCAAATGGACTTTGTATGCGCCCTAATGTTGGATGCTCAGAGAGTAGAGAGCATGATACTGATAGATACCAGCATGAAGTGTTTGCAACATTAAAAATGGAATCCATTTGAAACAAGGTGGTAAACATTGCTTGAATTCATCCTAATGACTTTTAGCCATCTATCTAAATGTCTTTACTCATTATTTAAAAGTTGAGCTTTTCAATGTCAGTTCTCTAAGAGTTTTGAGTGACACACTCATTAAGATAAGACGGTCACATATTGAGGTGCTCTGTAGCCCATAAGTACTTCCACATTCTTTATCTGTAACAAAGTTCTGCACCATAATGGACTCCACCTTGATCATAGACTTGGTAAAAGCCTGGCAGTTTCAGGCCCGTTCTAAACCACAGCCATCCACCTTCCCTTTCCATGTTTGTTTGCCAAAGTTGCCTTATTTCCAGAGATGGTTACTTTCCGTATGCTGCTTAGACAGGCTTTGCCAAGATAATGATGCGTTTTTAATTTAAAGATAAACAAGACTCCCTATGCAGGTTAGGAAATCATTGGCCTGACTATTTTGACCTTACTGCCCAGCATTGCAGTGGTGCACAGATGGAATCTTTTGTTTAGGGCCTCATTGTAGATCAGTTGATATAAATCTCTAAGGTCTTGCTTTCCAAATGTTTATAGATTTTTTTAAGGAATAGTAAGTGCCATATTGAGAGGAAAAAATCAAAGGATTCTGACATTTATTGTGTGTAATCATAGGACTACTGTGTTCAAACTGTATTTGTGCTATGTTGTATTACTCACAGTTCTCTAGTCTAAGGAAAAATTTACTATTATGTGTTGGTGCTTCTACAGAAAGAGTTAACCAAAAGAACACAGGCATTGCTAGTCTTTTGGAAAGGCACAAAAGCAATACACACCAAGGTTTAGAGGCCAATGCACTGATTATGATTTCACTAAGCCAGTCTGCTTCCTGGAGTGGTTTTGTTATGCTAATCTCATTTTTGCAATCATCCTTGCTTTGGACCATTTTCATAAGTCTCTAAAAGATGAGGGACTCTTTTATACTAAGTGTTTGAAGATAAAACAACAAAACAAAAAAACAGCAACAGCTGTAAAGTTACAGAAGATATCCTCAGTGTGTAAATTCATGACAGAAATTCCACAGTGCATGCACTCACCCTGGGAAATGACCCATACAGAACGGAAAAGAGCTCTGTCATTTAACACACTGGACACAGATTCCTACTACCCTACTACCACCCAGGACCTAGGCCATTCTTTCTCCTCTTTCGAGTGAAGTGTATCATGAGGTCATTGGAGCAGCATTTAGAAAAGACCACTTAGAGGAGTCATTTACACATAGTTTGCCCCCCCCAATAGCCCCTTCCAGAGAACTGTAGGAAGAGGGGGACCATACAGGCTCCTAAAAATATTTAGTTTCCCCAATACAGAATTCAAAAGGATATTTTCAAATCAGATAATAGAAATGGTTTCCACAAAAGAATGTAAGTGTGGAAGGGGATTTATGTATGAAGATGGTAGAACTTGCTGTTTGGTTCCTAGGCCATGGACACACCCAGACTTTGGCTCCTTGGAGACTAGTGGGCCTGTCTGAGCATCATTGTGAACCTCTTCCTGGTCCAGTAGTAGTGCCTGCTCCCCTCACTTTCTGCTCTTTCTGTTTCTGCTTAAATATACTTCCAAAGGGAAGTGTTCTTATTTTAAATGACTACCCTGTTTAAATCACCAATGTATAATTATTACTATATATCACCCTGTCTAAAAGGAGTTAAGTCATACTGGCAATTGCCTGTCTCTGTAGGCAGCTTAATATTTTCCTTACAAAAACAGACATCTCTAACTTTCTTTTCTTTCCTGTCAATAGAATGTATGCTTTTTTATAGTTCTGGGGATAGTCCCCAGAGCCTCAAGCATGTAAGGCAGGTGCTTTACCACCAAGACACATCTCCACCTTGTTAGACATTTTTAGGAAAATAGGGGTGTTTATTTTGGCTGTTGTTGTTGTTTCCCAATTCTTTCCTTCTTCCCTGTGTGCATTACTACACCTTCCTGTATCTCCAGCATCTATCTATGCGTCTACCAATCAAGGGCCATTCAACAATATTCCTTGTATAAATAAATGTGTAAGTCTTACCTGAGAACTCAACTGGGTGAAATGTAGTTACCTACAGTTATTTAGTTATTTCTCCTCCTCCTCCTCCTCATCCTTCTCCTCCTGTTCCTCCTCCTGTTTTCTTCTTCTTCTTCTTCTTCTTCTTCTTCTTCTTCTTCTTCTTCTTCTTCTTCTTCTTCTTCTTCTTCTTCTCCTTCTCCTTCTCCTTCTCCTTCTCCTTCTCCTTCTCCTTCTCCTTCTCCTTCTTCTTCTTCTTCTTCTTCTCCTTCTTCTCCTTCTTCTCCTTCTTCTCCTTCTCCTTCTTCTCCTTCTCCTCCTCCTCTTCTTCTCCTCCTTCTCCTCATCCTCCTCCTCCTACTTCCTCCCCCTCCTCATCCTCTTCCACCTCCTTCTCTTCTCCTTCCCCTTCTTTTCCCTCCCTCCCTCCCTCCCTCTTTCTTTCTTTCTTTCCTTCCTTCCTCTTCTTTCTTTATCCTTTCCCTTTCCCATGTTTAATGTCTTTTTGGAGTAACTATGTATGCAATGTCTTGTACATATTTAAGTTGTATATTTGCCTAACTTATCATGGGTGGTACATATAAAATTTTACCATCATGAACATATTGACCTCTTGATGTTTCTCTTTCCATTTTCAATTATTGACCCCCCCTTACAGGCACCAAGTTGTCACTAGAAAATCATATGGTATATTTTCATTTTACTCCAGCATTCCTTTTACTTGACATAATAATTTGAGTTTTTATTAGATGTATATAATTGTTTTGTTGGCGGTTTGGTTCTTTAGTGAGTTATAGCTAAGTGTGTAGGTATGTCACATGTCTTTACTCATCTGCCAGAAAACATTTGTTTGTCTTGATTTTAGCTTTGTCTCTTATAAAGATGTGATAAAAAACATAAAAACTTACCTGTGTACAAAAAGCTTTGGTGTCCCTTCAGCAGCAACTAAGCAATTGAATAGCTTGATCATATGACAAATGTATGTTCAAATGCTTAAGAAATTGTCAGTTTTCCAATGTGGTTTCATCACTTTTCTTGTCCTATCTGGAATGTGTGAATCAGTTCAGCTATTCCAAATCTTCAGTACTGGGCAGTCTTTCTGATTTCCACTATTCTAATGGATAGTGGGTGGCTAGTTTCTAGTGCTTTTACATTGCAATTTTCTAACTACTAATGTATTAAGCATCTTTTGTGTGTATATATTTTATTTAATAAAGTAACTCCTGAATAACTTTTGCCTGTTTCTATCATATTTTTGTCCTATATTTTAATAGTAGTCTGGGCTTTAACAAGTTTATACATCTTGTGGAGGGCTTCTCTAATTCCACAGCTGTGGTGGTTTGAATGAGAAATGGCCCAGCCTGCCACCAGAGTCTTGGGCATTTGAACACTTGCTCTCTGGTTGATGGCACTAAGGTTGCAGCCTTAGCATAGTCTTCCTGGAGGAAGTAGATCATTAGGGGGTGGGCTTTGAGGTGAAAAAGGCCTCTATGATTTTCAGTTCACTCCTCTGCTTCATGCTAGCTGTTCAAGATGTGCTATCAGCTTCTATCTCCTGCTATCATACTGTCTCCACCAGTATCGACTCTACCTATATGGAACAGTAAGACAAAATAAACCTTTTATTCTATAATTTGCATCAGTCATGGTATTTTATCACAGCAACAGATGCAGATACCCACAGCCAAATATTAGGCAGAGCTCAGGAAATCCTGCAGAAGAGGGCGAGAAAGTCAGAAAGAGCCAAGGAAGCCAAGGACACCAGGAGAACACAGTCCATGGAATCAATTAATCTGGGGTCATAGGGCTCACAGAGATTGAACCAAAATCAGGGGGAATGCCTGGGTTTAACCTCTGCCATTTGTATGTATGTTACAGTTGTGTAGCTTGGTGTCCTTATGGGATTCATAACTCTTGGAGCAGGACTTATCCCTCATTCTTTTGCCTGTTCTTGGAACCCTTTTCCTCCTATTAGGTTGCCTCATGCAGCTTTGACATAAGGGAGTATGAATAGTCCTATTATAAGTTTGATATGACTTAGTTAGTTGATATCCATGGGAAGCCCTTTTTAGAATAGTGGGTCTAGGGGAAAGAGGAGGTGGAAAGGGACTAGGTCGAGAGGAGAGAAGGGAAACTTCAATATATTGTATGAGAGAAGAATTTAAAAATTCTTTGCAACATTTCCAGGACTGCAATACCTGGATGTATTTATAAATACATCACTTTACTTCACCTGTAAATGTCCTTAATTACTTAAATGATAACACTTATATTTCATACAGCATGTGGGCCAACTGGAAACATCTTTCCTGAGATGATAACCAAAAGTCTAAGGGAAAGTTTCCTTTTGAGTGACTGCACTGGCTACCTAGTATTATGTCAACTTAATACAAGCTAGAGTCATCAGAGATGAGGGAGCCTCAACTGAGAACATGCCTCCAAAAGATACAGCTGTAAGTCATTTTCTTAATTAGTGATCAATGAAGGAGGGCCCAGCATGTTGTAGGTGGTCTTGGACCCATAAGAGAGCAGGCTGAGGAAGCCATGAGAAGCAAGCCAGTAAGCAGCATGCCTCCATGGTCTCTGCATCAGCTTCTGCCTCCACATTCCTGCCCTGTTTGAGTTCCTGTCCTGACATCCTTCAATGATGAACAGCAATAGGAATTGTAATCTGAATAAACCTGTTTCTCCCCAAGTTGCTTTGGTCATGGGGTTTCATCATAGAAATTTTAACCCTAAGACAATGACCCAGTAGCCATCTGTTCAACTGAAGCATAGTCTACTTTCCCGAATGTCAGGGTTTCCTTTTCTTTCTTTCTTTCTTTCTTTCTTTCTTTCTTTCTTTCTTTCTTTCTTCCTTCCTTCCTTCCTCCCTCCCTCCCTCCCTCCCTCCCTCCCTCCCTCCCTCCCTCTCTCTCTCTCTCTCTCTCTCTCTCTCTCTCTCTCTTTCTTTCTTTCTTTCTTTCTTCCAGAGTGGGAAAGCTTTGTGGAGAGAAGAGGGAAGGCTCAAGTGTGTCTAAATCAAAGCTTTTGGTGTGGAAAGCCACAGCTAAGTTATACAGACACTGCATACCCCATGTGGTTGGTGGGAGGTGTCTACATTTAGGCCTCTCTGGTCAAATCATAAGTTGGAAGGAAGAATAGGGCAACTGCCAGTTATTAAGTTAGTCCCGGTATATTTGGGTTATTTTTTGCAGGGGCTGTTGAATGGCTTTCAGCACCTTAACCAGAGAGGACTGTCTGGATTCTTACAAGTCTGTCTTAGAGATGACATCCTGACCATCTACATCTAGGTAATGAATTGGTTTCATGGTGCCTGCTACAGGAAGCGGTTTCTAGTCCTATTTGTACCTTCTAACGGTTGCATGCTTTTCAGTGTCTTCCTTAACAAGAATCATTGAGGACCTGAAAACAAATGTGAATTTTGCTGTTGTGCATTATCTCCTGGTCTTGAGCGTCAATATTTCTATAGTTAGAGTTTGTGTTAACTGATAGCATCCAGAAGCCTCACCTTAAATGAAGGCATGCATCAGAATTTGAGCACATGGTCACAAAAACACCAGGCATCACATTCCAGCTCATGAATTATGATTCTTCCTGGCAGTAGACAGGAGCCAGTGTTCCTGGCTGTGTACAGGTTCTATCCTTCTACCTAATTATTTTAGACAACATTAATATCAAGAAGAAAATAAGTAAAAAAGCACCATGCACCACTTGTATCATCCATGTGTTTATGGATGAATTTCTGAAGAACAATGGCCTTCTAAGGTAGTGCAAGACAACCATATTTCCGTGAGTCCCAACCTCAGAGGCAAGCATTAGCTGCTGGATGAGCCCAGAAGAATCCACTTGACACTCTTCTCATTAATCAGTAGAGATCAGTTCTCCCACTGACAATGGTTCAGGAGATGAGACTGTGTCATAGTAAGATGTTTATTATCTAAAGGCCAAATTTAAATATGCCATTCATTCATACATATTTACATACTTCCTTTCACTTATACATATAAAAATCGCTGTCAAAGCTCAAATCTGGAAACCTTAAATGAGTCCCTTTGGGAAAATATCTGAGGATATGGATTCACATTTTTTTTAGTTTAAAGCAGAATTCATCTTCCATCACAGGAAAGCACCTGGTTTCTTGGCCTTTTAAGTTATAAAACAGAAAAAAAAAGTTTCTTCTCTCCAGTAGACATTTGTTGAACTTCCTGGAAAATCACCTTCCTATAATTTTATTGACGTATAATAAGTTACATTTAAATAAACACTGGCATGATGTCATTTTAACTTGGAAGCTGAAACTGCATTTCAAGGAATAAATAAGATCCGCATAGTCCTTCTCCATCAGAAGAACTTCATCCCGCTTGTTCACTTCCGTAGCCTGATCAACATCAGATAGGGAGAGGCAACTTCAGGCTTCAATTCGCTGCAGAAAATACAATAAATATTATCAAAATGGAACAAGGCATAGTCTAGTAATACAATGACTATACCACCATCATCCCTACCTCAACTGCCACCATACTGTGAAATCTGATCTCAGAGATAACCATTAATGTATTTATTGTGATGGATTCCCCATGAGAATCACGCTGGGGATTCATTCATCAGCAGCAATTTTAGCTTGGTTGTATAGGACAAGTATGAGGAGGAGTGAGAAGGAAGCAGAGAGTTAGTACCACTTGATGGTACTATGCCACAGAGTGAACTGAAGATGAGAAAACTCAAACACCTGTTCCTGAAGTGTGTTGTGGTTCTGTACGTTTCTTGGAGCCTAAACCTTCTCCTTTACTGTGTGAGTGTAGTATGTAAAACTTTTCATATATGTGCTTAAGTATATATGTATGCATCTATATATGCATGCATTTGTTTTATTTTTCATTATGGACTCTTATCTCAAGTAGAGCACAAGAAACATCTCTATGCCTTAATGGTTCAGGGGTTAAAAATCTTGTGTATATGTAATGAGATACAGAAAAGAACATTGTTTTGGGGGGGATATGACTGATTTGTCCAGACAAGTTTAAAATGTTATCACCCTCAAATTTTAATTGCATTGTATGGTGGCAAATCCACACTTACCTTACTAAATCATATTAGAATTACATTTTTAAAGCAGCTTTTTTGAGAATAAAGATCACACTTTATTCCCTTAACATTGTAATTTCCATGCTGGCCTCCCAGCTGTCCGTCTGGTCCAGACGCCCTGAGTGTGAGAGTCAGTGAGGAGGCCTGAGCAACCTATGGGGCCCTGGGCAGTAGATCAGTGTTTATCCATGGCATACAAATGGACTTCGTGTGTCCATAACACAAAGAGGGATGCTCTCTCAGCCCGGACTCTTAGGGGAGTGCCTGGACCCTGCCCTGAGTGAAATGGCAGACTCTAGATATCCCCTATGTGGAAGGAAGTGGCAATAGGGTGGGAGGCTGGGGAGGAAGATGGAGGGGTGCGAGGGGGGGGGAAGGAGAGGGAACTGGGATTGACATGTGAAGCAAGCTATTTAAAATTAAAATAATAATAAAAAATTTTAAAAAAACATAATTTCTATTTTTAAAAAACACAGAACATCCAGTTTCAACATTTCAATTAAGAAATTTCCCTTAGTTGACTTTTTCTAAGTCATATAAAGAAAACAAACTCTTTAAAAATATAATCTTAAAGCCAGGCAGTGGTGATGCACATCTATAACCAAGTGCTTGGGAGGCAGAGGCAGGCAGATATCTGGGAGTTAGAGGCCAGCCTAGTCTACAGAGTGGGTTTCGGGATAGCCAGTACTGTTACACAGAGAAACCCTATCTCCATAACCTCCCCCCAAAAGTAAAATCTTAAGGTGTTAATTAATTGTAGCTAAAAGCCATCACCAAAGACCATTCTCTCCAGCACACCCCTGTGTCAGCCAGATTTGCAGCATCAATGAAAAGTCATTGTAAAAAGAAACCAGTGCTTCCTCCACAACGCCATGCTGGTTCTGCTCCCTACAGTGTCCAAGTGGCTTGACTATGGCAGAAAGCTCACCAACTTCCAAGAAAGAGTTACACAAGGCAGGGAAATGAACACTGACCGTCCTCCCTTCTCCAGGAAAGCCCACCTCTTTGAGTGCCTCTAGGGCTTCATTTATTTCTTTTTAGAAGTTTCCATGCTAGTGACCAATAAATTTGAGAATTTAGCACCTTGGCATCTGAGAAGATGTGATTCAAAGTGGCTTCATCTCTACTCTCTAATTATGCACATCAGCAAACTGAGTCATTGATGCTAGGAGTTTTAGAGAGAGATGAATCTGTCTGAATTCCTAGACTAATGTTAATCATAGTGGGTCTGATTTGCCACCTCAGGGCCTGTGTCTAAGAGTCAAAGAAAATGAGATTCTTACGTGTAGGGACCAGAATTCAAAAGCAGCTACAACAGGAAGTTTTTAATCACGTTGATTCGTGTAATTACAGGCTATGCTTTCTCTTAAGTGATCATTTCCTAAGGCTTATGGAAATGAGGTTCGAGCCCAGATTCAAATTCTGAATCAGCCAGCAATAATAAATATACACAAAGAAATTTGTCTGATTTTAAGTATCATCTTGATTGCTTCCTCGGGTCATCATCACTGCTTTAAATCATCCATTGGTAGCTGGTAGTTGCTTAAGTTACATGGTCTTAGCAGTACAGAAAATAAAAAGAAATAGGAGGACCTCGTGGTTTCCTGGGAATATTTACAATCTATTTGGTTGACAGCTGACAAAAAATTCTAGTAAGTAAAAACAACTAGTGATTAAAATATCCACTAATGGCACAAAGAACAGAGCAGTTGAGTAAGAAGGAGAATGCAGGAAATTTGTGTGTAATATTTGAAAAAAAAGTGCTAAAGTTAAGGTTGAGCATGGTGTAAGGCAGAAGAGAGGGTTGAAAGACATGCAATGAATACACTTACTTAATAAGTGTTAATATATCCACTTTCCAGTACACAATTGTGTATAAAAGAACAATTCTGAACAGTATTTAGGCAATAGATGGTGTGATGATTAATCACCATTATGAACCTGACACACTTCTGAGGATCTCTTTCGGGCCTTTTCTAGACATGATTTAAGGTGGAAGACAGGGATGAAGGGAAAAGACCTTACCTTGTAGAGACAGCCTTAGATACTGATGTCTTAGGAGTTTCACTCCAATGTGCCACCTTGGTTTTTAGTTCCTTATTCTAAAATTGGAAGGCAAAAGGTGCAGAGATCAGACAACAAATCCACATGTTGCCTAAACTTCCACATTTCCACTCTACTCCCCACCTGCCTCATGCCTATAGAGTAAACTTGTTGTGGTTATTCCATTAGAACTCCAAGGGAATGGTTATGCTGTTGATGAGGAAAATATCTATCTACTGAAGAAAATAAATTGGACACCATAAAGACACTTGCTATATGATTCCAAGCCTTGTCTATAAATGGAAACAAAATACACAGCCTGGGGTTCAGCTGTACTCAGAGAATCCAAACAAGCACTGAAGGGTAATGTGACATCATTGGGAAGAGTTTGTAACCAGCTCACATGTTTCCATGAGGGGCAGCACAGGTGTTTATGTCCCCATTAACTGGAGGTATGGGGGTTCCACAATGCATGCCTGAAACTGGAATATAAAGGCAGAAAGACAGAGAAAAAGACACACTTTTCTGATTCGACTACTGGACCTCCAAGACAATTAAACCATTGCACAGCATCTAGAAGAAGTTATAATAAACTCATTAGATGACAAATATCTTCCTTGAAGGGACTCCACTTTCTGAGGGATTTCCTGTCCTCCCTGTGAGACAGAGAGAATCTATCATGAAAAGCCAGGAAAGGGTTTACAGGAGAGAGAATGAGTGGATGGGAACAAAAACTTGCCTTATCACAGGAAATTAAAGTATGCTGTTTCTGTTTTTTATTTTATTTAGATTTTTAAGTCGTTACAATAACATTTAATTTTAAATATGGTCACACATGATGAATTGTTAAGTCAAAACAAGTAGAATTTAATACAACTGTAAAATTACTTCAAGTTTTTTAAAAGTCAGTTCTTTATATAACTGCCATGTGGGAAGCTCTTGGTTTTGCAGTCATAGACAGTCTGGAAACCCAGATCACATCACTTTCCTAACCAATGTCCAAGAAAAGCCTCTCATTTTACACTGAGTTTTTTAAAAAACACTGAAAAGCATGACAATTCCAGGAGACTCTGAGATGTAATTAAGCTTGGAGGCAAAGTTGGGAAGCCAGAGCGGATGTGTATGAAGAAAAATAGAAAGAAAAGGACACCACAGGCCAGGAAAAGGTGTGGAACAAAGAGTCAAGAAGCCTCACCATCTAGCTCGAGGGCAGCCTTGACCAAGCCTCAGCACAAGATCTTTACCTGTTCTTCAAAACACTGAGTGTCCAGGGAAAATGTGGCTGAAACTTCACCACTTATTTAGTGTGTAAAGCTAGTAATGAAAAGTTAATACACTTGTTCAATGATAACTTAGTCACAAGTTAATAGTTATTGAAAGTAAGCTATAATTTCTCATGCACAGTAGATGCACATACACTGATAAAGACACTAAAGACACATACATGTATGCCAGGTTCAATGTACACTCAGACACAGGCAAATGCAGTTACAGACACACATGCAAAGTCACACAGGCACAGAATTATACACAAGCGTATGCCCACATAGTAATGTATCATTTACATGCAGGCGCACACTTACACACATATATCCACACATATGCCAACATTGAAACAGACAGTACAGTCTCTTCTTACCTGAGCTTCAAGTTTATTGACCTTTTCTTTCAAATTTTCGATGTTTTTATCTTGTTCCTTTAAAGTATTTTTTAATCCTTCCATCTAAGAACCAGGAAGAACAATAGGGAAATCTTGTCAAACCAAGATATGCAATGAATACACTTACTTAATGTGTAAGTTAATAAATCAAGAATTGCACAGCTTTCTGTGGTCAGACGATGTTCATGAAATAAAAACTAGATGCAGCCCACAGCATGAGCTGAGCCAGCAGACCTCTTAAGGTCACAAGCCAAATTGCCACTCAGGGAGGTGCTACTCTCCATTTTCATCTATAAGAGAAATCTACCTACAGAAATCCAACAGGTGCCTAGGTAGGGAAGGCTGCAGGTAGTACCATGTGTCTCATCCTGCAGAACTTGCCGAGGAATAAAGTGCAGACGATTTCCTGCTTTAAAATATTCCCTAGAGTCACTGCTTATGGGGATATAAAAATGTAACAGTCAAGTTTGATTGTATCTGGAATGCCAGCTACTCAAGAAGCTGGGGCAGGAGGATTCCATATTCAAGGCCAGTCTGGGTTGCATAGCAATTCCCAGACTACCTTTGTCAATTAAGGAAGACCCTGTTTCAAATTCAATGTAAAATAGGTCTGTTGCTATGACTGTGTTACAGCATTTTTAGCTAGCATGTGCAAGGAATAGGCAATCTATATAATACTAAAAAAAATCAATAGCACACACAACTGAAGCCCGATTTCTTAAGAAAGGTTTGAACCTCCTAATGCACAAAGTCTTCTCTCTAACAGAGAACAACATCTGACTCAGATCATTTATGCTTGCACAAAAAATCACTTGAATATCTAAAGAGCAGTTAAGCACAGTTTCTCAAACGTTCTTCATCTAGAACCTGACAGGTGTTGAAATTATAGGCAAGAGAAGTCCCAGTTAGGTTGCCTGAAAAATTAAAAGGATATGTTGGTGGGAAGGTGAGTCTCAGAACGCAGCCTGCCAGACTACCCAGGTGTGGTCTTCGCACTGTAAACCTGCCATCGACCTGATGTTGCCCTGACCTCCTCGATGATGCTGTGCAGGCTCTGGTGCTGGGAGTGGATCACGAACTGCAGATGACATATCTGCTCCTGGAGGATGGAAATCTCTGTTTGAAGATCCTGGCAACTGAGAATGCACAGAAAGGAGGAAGGAGTGAAGGAGTTTTTGCTACACTGGCCCTACCCTCCTGCTGTTGAGCCTTGTGCAGTAAAGGTCCCAGGGACCCGTATACCATACAGGAATCATGAAAAAGAATAGTCCTGGTCTCTGCTTGCATATGAACTTGAATAAGATATGTATTCAGGTTAAAAGCTGCTTCTGGGTAGGGAAATGGCTTAGTGGTTAAAAGTGCTTGCCCTACAGGCATAAAGGACCTGAGTTTGGATTCCCTGGAGCCATCTAGAACTGTGTATGGTAGCAAGCATGTGTAATCCCAGAGTTTCCACAGCCATGGAGGCTGAGACTGACAAATGGCTAAAAGCTCAAGAGCCCAGCCTACTTGTCACACAGAGAGGGAAACAAGGGCCCCTGTTTCTGTAACGCAGTCCTTTAAAAGACCCAGTTCCCAGCAGAAATGCAAACCTTGCAAGGCCGTGGGAAATATCAGCACCTAAATGTATAGTCAATCTGGTTTTTCTTTACATGTTCATGGGCAGAAGTATTGCAAAAGAAATGTGTGGATTGAACCAACCATGTTTCTAATCTAAATTTAAACTTAAAAATAAAAAAAATTAATTAAAAAAAAGAGGCAGAGAGAGATGAATCTCTGTGAGGTAGAGGCCTGCCTGGTCTATAGAGAAAGTTCCAGTACAGTCTTCAAAGCTATAGAGAAACCTTGTACCAAAAAAATGAGATTATTATTAATGCCAGGCAGTGTGGTGCACGCCTTTAATCCCAGCACTCTAGAGGTAGATGCAGATGGAAAAGAAAAAAGAAAAAAGAAATGTGTGTATATCTGCTCTTCATGGAGATGTTTGTGCTTCTAAGATTAGAACAGACCAGACTATGACCTTCCAGACATCTCATCATTTCTAAAATTTATGTTCAAGCAGCGGCTGCCACTGCACGAGTGCACAGCAACATCAGATTTTAGTTCTCTCTGGCCTTTAGCATGAGGCAGCCTCCTTGACAGGGCAAAGGAAGCTTGTGAGGACATTTCATGACACCCAGAGAAAGGTTTACATGCCAAAGGAAGAGGTGGGGAACTCAGACACCCACCAAAGGCTGTGGACTCTGGAGGTCTTCAAAAGAATGAGAGGAGTCAAAACCCAGAGAGTTAGCAACCATTGGCTTTCAGGGAGACTGGGGCCAGACAAGCTGGGCGACTGAGATGTCCTGTGATGCACAGATTGCTGGGAGGAAGAGATGTTGAGGAAATTCAGGGAATGGGAGGATGGGGAGTCTCAACCAAAGGACAGCCTCAGAAAGCCCAGTTCTGGGTCAGAGGACCAACCCAGCTAATACAGAAGCTAATGTTAAAATTTAAAAATTCCTCCAGTGAAGAAGGAAAAAGAAGAAAACAAGTAACAATGGCCTAGTTGGTGGTCAGAATTGGGTTTCCTCTGGGCAGTAAGGAGCCAGATGTCTGGGTGCTCTGTTAAGACAAAGGGCTTTATCACACATGTGTATGCCTTAGGGTTTTATAAACTTGACCCGAGGTAGGGTCATATGTGCAGAAGAAATGAAATTGACAAAGTGCCTCCATAAGACTGACCCGTAGGCAAGCCTGTGGGGTGTTTTCTTGATAAATGGTTAATGTGGGAGGGCCCAGAATGTTAGGACAGTGCCATCCCTAGGCAGGTTGTCCTGAGTGATAGGAGAAAGCAGGTGGGGCAAACCATGAAGAGCAAGCCAGTAAGCAGCATTCTTCCATGGCGGCTTCTTTATTGCCACTCAGGGGAGTAAGGAAACTAGACCGAGAGGCTATGAGAAGTTTCCAGAAATGAAAGAACAGGTATCAAAGCCCTCCATGGCAGCATGCAAGGCTCTGCTATGTATGGGAGTACTGAAGCCAAACAGCGTGACATCTTGTAAGGAGCTAGGCACTTAGGAGTACAGAGTCTGTCCTTGAAAAACCACAAGAAAGAATTACATTAATGCAAAGGTAGTTGTACTGTTAACTGCAAAATAATTTACACAAGATGATAGCAACAACAATATGAAGTTAATGCTACTTTTAAGAAAATAGATCTGCTCTTCTCTATACTTTTCTTATGTCTATCTAACCTCAGACTAAAAGAAATAGCTCATATTAGTGGTGCATTTACCAAGCTTTTATGGCTTCAATTTAAGAGTCCAATTCATACTGATTTCACTCTTTCTGTCACTCAGTAAAGTGAACAATGCCTCTTCTCACAACTCAGCAAGAAGGAAGGAAGGTAAGTGTTTGTGATGTCTACAACTTGAAAATGGAATAAGACTGGATGTTCAGTTACTTTTCTGGAAACACAGAGCACTCACTTTCCCAAGAATTTTTCAAAACCTCCACAAGAATATTTTGAGAATTTCATATAGAGTGCTCATATATGGCAGACAAGACACTTATTGTTGTTTTTGTTTGTTTGTTATTTGATTTTTAAAGGAAATTATCAAACACAGACTACCTAGACTCTTAAAGGAAGGAAAATTGTGTAAGTCCATTGATCTTTATATTTAAGGGCAAAAGGAGAAAAGAAAGAGAAAGAAGAAAAAAGAGAAAAGCCAAAAATAAACTTATCTAGTGACTGTAGGTGATGCCAGGGCTGAGCTGCTCTCTGAAATCCTTCTTTATCAAGATGAACAGTGATACACAGGTATCATATATCTGATCTCTTGGATTCTATATTTACTCACAGGGAGGAAGATAGGAAAAATAACAAATTAGCATGACAGATTATTCAAATTTAAATTTCTGCCTTTTATGGTCATTGTCATAAGTGGTCAAAAATGCATAGTTACCAGCCAGACAAAAAGCACAAAGTATAACGAAAGAGATGAAAATATAGATATAATAGTAAAGGGATGAGAAATAGTGGAAGTCAAGGAATATGGATGTCTGTGACTATATGATAATACAAATAAAGGACAATGAAAATCTGTCCCTCAGAGGCTCAAAATACTGCCTGAAAACATAGATTGAGAAGGCTGAGTTGGGGGAGGAATAGAGGGGAAAGCAATGAAAGAGATATCCTGATAGAGGGAGTCATTATGGGGCTAGGGGGAAACCCAGTGTTAGAGAAATTCTCAGAATCCACAAGAATGAACCCAGCTAAGACTCCTGGCACTAGTGGAGGGGATATCTGAAAGGGCCTTCCCCTTTAATCAGATTAGTGACAGCCCTAATTGTCATCATAGAACCTGCATCCAGTAACTGATGGAAGCAGATGCAGTGATCCACAGCCAAGCTTAGAATCAAAAGGAAAAGAAAAATCTAGAGAAATGTTATATGAGCCAGAACCTAACATTCCAGAGGATTTCCTGGTAGCAACTGAGCAGGACAGCTGCTATGATGACCATAAGCCTCATGAGTAAAGACTGGGACGTAACAGATTGAAAACTATGACTATGAAAACAAGGCACAACAAACTATGACTGCTTTTCATAGTTTTTCTTTCATTTTCTATGAAATTTGAAGAGTGCCAGTCTATCATAGTTTCACTTGATGACTGGCCAGTTTGATACAGACTGTTGAAGAGACCCATTCACAAAGATAAAAGCATAAAGATACCTCCAACATCTTTGAGTAGATGGAGAAGCAACAGATTCACTCTTCAGAAGAATAAACTCCCCAAGTGGGTCTCTAAGACCCTGGCCCCTGATCACTCACAGGTAAGAAATAGAATGCAGGTCTGTTAATTCTAGGTATTTGATATCCCTTCTGCCTGAATCTGCCCTACTTTACCTGCTCCCTCTAGATGTATAAATCCCACCTGCCTACAGCCCGGCACACCCGTGAACAGGAAGCTGTCAGAAACTGCTTTTTAGGAGGTCAACTTTCAAACCTTTTCGATTGTGCATCATTGGACTTGAGTTGCAGCAGCTTGCTTTCCAAACACAATTTTCTCTCTAGGAGTGTTTTCTTTTCCTAGGAGAAAACAAGATACAGCTTTTGTTTGTGTGTATGTGTGTGTGCTTGCAAACTGTTCACAATAGCTATGTCTTGTGATACTAGAAATACAGTCTGTATCTGGGAGCTCATCTCATCCAAGCAAATACAATGTGCCACTGGGAAACCTGGCCAGGCAATGTTCTCTGTGTTTTAAAAGGAAATCAGAGTTGTGCCATGAGTATTGTTTAACATGGGCGTGGTGGTGCGAGTGGTTAATCTTTGCACTTTGGAGGTGGAGACAGGTGGATCAGGAGTTCAAGGTCAGCCTGGGCTGCATGAGATTGTGTCTCAAAATAAGCAGATATCTTCATAACTCCCTCATTTATCTTGAATGACAAAGCTTGCTCCTTCTCCAGCCCACTGCCAAAATGGAGCCCTTGCAGTGCAACCTCGCCCACCCACCTTGCCCGTGCCATCTGGAGTAAGAAGCCTGCGTGGCCTCGCCTGATGTGAATTCCCTTACCCCTGCACCTGCCTCTTCACCACATTAGGAGAGTTGTTGGTATCCAAGGACACCACTGCACACACTGTGATGTTTCCACCTGCTCTCACAGCATCTGTCGCTATGTAGTAAACAGGTAAATGGACGCTTAATGAGGGCTCGAGGCCACAAATGTTAAAGCTACTTCCTAATGAGGAACCAGGAGAAACTATAAGACTGAGAAAGAGTATCTTTTAAAGTGAGGTGATTTAATTATTAAACCCAACTGCTCACCCCAAGGGAAAACTGACAAGTCCACAAAAGGCCAAGCTTGGGTAAGCAGAGTTTGAGTTGCTGATTGGAGCCAAGTTGGGGGGAAACAGGAAAGTCTGCAGAGAGGCAAAAATGGTATTGACAGTGTGGGCAGAACTGATAGAAATGTTTCAAAGCATGCCCAATGCTGTTTAACCCTAAAGGTTATAGTGTAATTGTCTTAAAGAATATTAATTCAATCTACCTAGACCGGTAATACAAGTCTATATTCTGTCCATTCCTATGACCCCCCCAACACTCAATGCTTATAAATGCCTTATAAAAACTAACTTTATTATCATACTGGCTCCACAATTAGTAGTAAATTGATTTCTAAAATGTATTATCTATTTATATGAGTCATATTTTTAACTTTATGGATATCCCTAAGTTAAGATGAAATAAATGGAGTGGAGACAACTGGTATAGGACGAGAAGCCTACTTGCTTCCCTGGCAGATAGTTGGACTTCAATACACAGTAATTTAAAGGTACCAATTACTTCATATCCTGTGTGAGTTGCTACTCTTAATTATGCTACCTTATTTAAGTAATTGTCTCAGAGCAATCTTGCCTCATAGAAATGATTCCATATTAACCCTTTCCGTGTTAGCCTCAAGTGTCTGCAAATAATTCCAGAGAGATCGTGGATATACCTTGAGGCTGATCTTGATGCCTGCACTCTCAAGGAAACACTATCACAGGCTATGTATTATGAACTTGTGGGTTGCAGAGAACATGCACACTTTCTCTTGATTAATGAATGCTCGCAATCAGGGTCAGAGACAGGGCAACTAACAAGAATGTGTTTTGCCGTAGCCAGGTTCTTGCATATGCCATGGCTCTTCATGGACCCTTCTTTGGAAACGTGTGAAATATCACTTGCCTAGCACACACTTCTTCCCAGTGCCTTCGTCAAGTGCATAACACCCCACTATGGGTATGATTTGTCTCTGAGAGTTCAAGATTTCCCTCTGAGAATTACCTGCTAAGCCATTTAACTGGCCCCAGAGCACATTCTTTATCCCACATTATAAAACAGATGGGTGTAATAGGGAGGATCATAAGTAGAAATGGAGATTATGGAAAGGTTTCTTGTTTGCTCTCTGTTCTTGTTTATAAAACATCGATGATGAAGTAGGTGGTCTCTGAAGTGCTTTTGAGCCCTTAGATTGTGGAGGGGCCAAATCAATGACACTGGCAAGCAAATGTGAACCAACAGAATCGCACTGCTGGCAAAAGGAACATATGCCATGCTAAAATGCTCTTACAGGGCGTTTCTGCTAGCTTCTTGCTGTGTGTTCGGAATTCATTCTCGCCGCATTCCTGATTAAAGGGGGACAGATGGCGGGGGTTTTAAGTAATGTCTTCATTACCAGACCTCACAGCACTAATGGCTATTTACTGGAGCAAGGCCTTGCTCAAGTGAGTAGCAAATGAATGCTTCTCGGGGAGCAGCCATGGCCAAAGCAGTGTTTCTCAGCCTTTCCAGGGAGGTGTGCTATTCATCTTCACTTCCATTTTGAACTTCCATCTGCCCCCACTAGTGCAGAAGGCTCAGCGCTCTCTTCTTTATTCCAATGTTCCCCACCCAGGAAATGTCCAACAGCCTGCTTCCTCATTATCTCCTGAGCCCAAGAAGGTGTCACCAAGCTTCGCTGCTTATTTTACTTATTTCCACACTTGTTTGGAAAATATGAAATAACGTTACGCTAAATGTGTTCTGAAACAACAGCCTTGCACATTGCTCCTCTATTCTATCATCATTCACTCCACTAACCAGAGAGACCCCAACAGGCTCCCTTAGCTATTCCTGAATAGGTTTTATAGAATAAACCTGGGAAGGTTGTCTCATGCCCTTGATGAGCATGGTATCCTATCTCCTCACTGTGTCACAGAGCTCTGAAAGAGAGTCACAATTACAGCCAATGTCAACACTCTTGGTCACACTGTTCTTAGGACCCTTAGGAGAATTAAAATGGGAAATCTGCAAAGTTCCTTACACTCAGCACAATCCAGTTACAAACATTTTAATTATCATAAATAGTGATTATTTCTAGTTCATTCACAAATATTAATATATATCCCATGCCCAGCTGTGGGCATCACATGGTGAGTACTCAAATATCTTGAAATAACAGTAGAATAAACACACCCAAGAGTCTGATAAGAGCTCATGCCTACAACTGAACTCCTAGAGTTGCTAGAAAAGGGACTTTCTTCCACTGTCCTCTTGTTACGTTTCTTAAACCCACAGGTGGCTATTAACCTTGCTCTGGGTTTTAGAGGTGGTGATCTCAATTCTGCTCTCCCATTTCAAGCTGGTTAATCAGTTGTTTGATTACATAATTCTATTTGCTGTACAGAACTATCTTCCTTCCCTCAATGAAAATATGCACTGTGGTATATTAGTCCCTCAAACCATCTACTACAATATAAAATATTATAACATTATCAGGCACTCAACAAATACTACAGCTTTTCCAAAACTCCTGAACTGGCATGCTTCCAAGGGATTCAGTGATTCTGGGAATGACAACAGTGGCCCACGGCAAAATAAAGATGTAGGTGAATGCTATCATTAGGCCCTGTTATATTTGTGTTCATATTAGGTCCTGTTATGTTTGTTGCTCATGTCATATGCCACATGACCTTCATTTGGACTATAGACTTAACAGTCACAGTGTTATCGAATTTTATATTATTGGGAAATATTTTAAAACTAATTCAACTTATTTTGGTCAGAGCATAGTTCTGAAAGGTTACACCCAGTAAGTGGAAGTTCTCTAGTGGCAAAGACCTCAGAAAACTCAAACAAGTAGAGGCTGAATAGACTAGGGGCCAATCAAGGAATACAATGAGATGGCGATGAAGGAGACATAATTTACTAGAACCCTAAGACTATGTTCTTATCCTATCTCAATTTAGTTTCTGAGATTCCCATTTGTTTTTACAGAAAAAGATTATGTTATTTATTTTGTCTGAATTCTGAATTTGAAGACACATACTTAAATTTATGTTATTTGTGTTGGTATTTGGAGTGCTAACCACTGGAAGCTATTCCATGAGGCTTTCACAGTTTTGCTCTCCACTGTTCTTCCCTAAGCAAACCTTTTGAGAGTTCTAATAGTCACAATTTTATTGCACATTTTGTAACCACTGTTTCTTATAAACCCCAAGCAGTCATGAACTGCTTTAAAAAAGATACTACACTGATTCTAATGTACCTAGATTTATTAAACTCTAATTTGTTTGTTATTGGGCTGATAAATGCTAGATTACAGGGATTCACTCTGTTATTGTTCCTAACAGGATTGCTTTGTGACCTAACCCATTATTTCTTTCACAGACCACTAAATACACACATGGACTACAAGGAGAAACCTGGAAAGCCAATAGCTACAGAACAGGTCCCATGAAATGTCTAGGGGGAATAGCAGTATTGTAAAAAGCAGAATCGTGCATCGATCCCCTACACACACAAATCCACATGCCAAGAAAGACTTCCAATTAATGTCATTCTACTTCCCCTGATATGACACTGTCATGGTGGAAAGTCTTTGCTTTTCCAGGCACTTACGTTTTCCATCCTCTGTACACGGTTCTCTAGTCCTATGATTTGACCATGTTTTTCTTCAAGTTTTTCTGAAAGTTGACTCAGATTTTCAGCACGTTGCTTTAACATCTGCTCTTTTTCAAGACTGTTGATCTGTGGTCAGAAAAAAAATTTGCTAGACTTTTGGTTTTAATAGTTATCTAGAACAAAATACAGCATCTTGTATATTACATTAAAAGTGTTTTCTTTCTTTTCAGAAAGCATCCTAAAAGCAGTGTACTTGCCCCCACTGTATCCCAAGGTTGCTTATTAAATACATAAGTCAGTGTAAAGGTCAGCCACATGAAAGAAGTGTCCTTATTAGGGAGGGGACATCAGCTGACTTCAACAGCAGAACATCTGCATATGTGTCTCAGTTGAAAAAAAATGAGTATGTATCTGCCCCTGAAAATACCAGGTGTACCTTCTTGGCAAGTCACTCAGGTTAGGGCTGAGACCCTAATGTAAGCACATGTATACCTGTTCCTGTAAATAGCACCATTCATGCAGTGTAGCACCAAGCCACACATGGCTGTGTGGAGCTGACTTCTCCAGCTCATGAGCTACAGCTGGGGCTAGTACCTGGAGTAAGCGTTTACTGTCCTCCTGCTTTTTCTTCATGTCTTCAGAATGCATTTGGTAGTTTTCAAATAATCTCTGGGCCACATTTCTCAAAGCTGCTGCTCCTGCTTCTCGGGAAGCTTCCAGCTAGGAAAAGTAAAAGTCAACCTGCATGTTAGATATTACAGAATAAAAATAGTTAAAAGCAGAACAGTTTTATCGTCAATTAAAAGCAGTACCTAATTACAATTTGCATCCTTATAGATAATTAATAGGAGAGAAGTTGCTGGTGTTTAGTAAGAGAAAAGTGTCAAATACAGAAGTCTCTCGTAGGGCGTCTGCTATGGTGCAGCCAAACCCTGGTGCTATGCACACAAGTGCTTTGCATAGGTAGATGCCATCCTGTCTGTCAGTACACATAGGTGCAATCCTCTTATCACCAATGTTCACTACATACTAATAAATACAGCTCTGTGAAATAGAAGTGGGACAAGATTGGAGTAGTAAGAGCAATGAAGTTCAAGTGCCCATCTTCCAAGGATATAACCTAAGGAAGTGATCAAGGGTGGCCATTGAGATTTACATACCAAGATAATCATTGTGAGGCTACACATAAAGTGAACCCCAATGGAGAAATGTAAAGCACTCAACAATAGATTAATTAAACAGTTAATGATGCATTTGATAATAAAGGTTGGAACCAGCATTTGGATTTGGGGGTATGTGTCCATGTTTCCAATACACATATGTGTGGGTGCAGATGCACAGTACATAGGGAAGTCAGAAGGCAACCTTGGAGTTCTATTGTCTTGTTTTCCCCTTTAAGATGAAGTATGTACTAAATCTCACATATTAGACTATGATGTGTGGTAGTAGCCCCAGGGATCCTCCTGCCTCTACCTCCTGAGAAACACACACCTCCATGCATAGCTTTTGGAGTTGGTGCTGAACTCAAATTCAGGCTTTCCTGCTTGAAGAAGAAGCACTTAGCTGACTAAGGTATCTCCCTAGCTCTAATATTTCTTACCGATGCAAAATATTTTAAAAATGCATTATGGTAAAAGCAGTTAGCCTAAGATCTCTTCCCTTAATAGATGTGTAATTATACATTATAGCATTGTTAGCTGCAGTTTGGTATCACACAGGAAACTTTGAGAACTTGCTACCTTTGCATAATTCAAAATTTATCCCCACAGACCTTCAAAAGATTTCTTTAATACTAAAAGTAGTCTCCAAAATAAAACAGTAAGACTTAATTTGTACAACATTCCAACATTTTGGCCCATATTTCTGACTTTCTGGGTATGAGTGGGTATCTTGATGAATGCTAATTACTTATGAGCTCTTAGCAGTTATACCTTTATTTTCAGCATTTCATTCTCCCTGTTCATTTCTAGAAGCTGCTGGTCTTTTCTTCTCATGTTTTCCATGAGCAAATCCAAAGAGTTGGGGTCTGTTGTGGAATCTGAGCCATTCCGAAAGTTTCCAGATTGCTGCAATGAACAAAGACAGAAATCAGAAGGAGCTGCGAGTTCTACATCAGGACACTGTGTGCCACACTGGGCATAACTTATGCTTAAGGAACCCTCAAAACCTGTCCCCACAGTGACACACATCCTCCAACAAGGCCACTATGAACATTGGCAAGTCTGATTATCATTCACTACATGAGTAAAAGAGGATTCAAACCAGCAAAAGCAACTCTTTAAACTCAAATTTTGATGATCAATTATAGACAAAGGAGCCAGCTTCCATGTCTGCTGAATTTAAAGAGTCTTGGGAGAATAAACATCCCTTATGCCTTTTATATTTCTTACAGCTTTAAATACATTATTAAAGGTATTGCGCATACCAAACACTAACCATGAAACTGGATTAATTAAAATCACACCTATAAAAATATTTTGCTTAAACAGAGTTGGACCTGCTAACATTCAGTGTTAACGGTGTTTCCTTGCCATCATTTCATATTAAATTTCTAATCAGAAATGTCAGACTAGAGCTCCACTGCAATGTAATCCTGGGCAAAGTCACGCTCCCTGAAAATGCGTGGAACATAAATCTACAAAGACTCATAGCCATGTGGAGGTGATTAGGAAAGTAAAGAACATCTCAGCCCACCAGTTTCAGACATGGAAACTAAGGAGCAGGGTCCATGTTTATGCAAGTTAAGTACAAGAGCTCAATATACAACTTCTTGATGACCATCTGCACTGTCCGCTCTTTGACCTTGTTTCATGGAGTGACACTATCATGTAACTCCACACACCCCCACAGTTTTGATAACAATGTCTACTTGCTAAGCACCTCTTATGTACCCTGTCTGCTCCAATGTTATACATGCTTCTTTGCCTGGATGCTTCAGAAAGAAGAAAGCATTATACTCTTTAGAGAAGTGGGAAAAGTTAAAATTAGAGTTTCACCAATTAAGTTGTTCCGGTTTGATTTTTTGCTGCTGGGAAAAAAGTCACACTGATCAAAAGCAATTTGGGAGATGTAAGAATTTATCTGTGTAAACTTTCAGGCGCATTATTGAGAGATGTCAGTGAAGGGTCTGTTGTGGGAGCTTGAAAGCATGAATACCACCACATGCTGACTCATTCACACACCCACGCATAGTTAGCTTTCTTATACAACCCAACGCCACCTGCTAAGGAAATGATTCCACACACCCCAGCCTGGGACTTGCTACATCTAATAACCACCAAGGCAATCCCATAATAACCACCAAGGCAATCCCATAATAACCACCAAGGCAATCCCATACAGGCAAATCTGGTCAGGACAATCCTCCAGGTAACTTTCCTTTCTCAGATGACTCCAAGCAGAGTCAAATTGATACTTAAAGCTAACTAGGACACCAAAGTTACACCTACATAAATAACCTGGAAACCAGATTTAGAGTCTAAGATTGCTTAACAACCAAACTTACAATTTTTCTACTACAATAAACTATCTATAGTTCAGAAATAAAAACTTTAAGTTGGTCAATGGTGGTGCATGCATTTAATTCCAGCACTTGGGAGGCAGAGGCAGGAGGATCTCTGTGACTTTGAGGCCAGCTTGGTCTACAGAGCCATATCCATATTAGCCAATTCAAACAAACAAAAAACAAAAACAAACAAACCAAGCCAAAGCATTAAAGTGCATAGCATATACACAGTACACCCTCGGGTGTGTGTGTGTGTGTGTGTGTGTGTGGTCCAGACCACACCTTCCATAACCATGGATATTTACTAAAGAATAATTGACAGACAGACTCTTGCTGAGGGTAGATTACTGGTTGTGGTTGATAGTTGTAAATAATTAGATCAGTGCTCTCATGGGTGTCAGCAAACGGTAAAGAGCTGTAGTTTCTGAGTTAGGAGGTCTGGGTGGAGGCCTAGACAATACAAACCTAATAAGCTTATGGAGATGCTGCTGTCAGACCAGCAGCCCACAATTGACATGGTATCAAGACCCTACATCATAGCAACACTGTGTTCTATTCATCCATGTATGGATACTGCTAGCAAGGTAAGCAAAAATAAATCCACTTCAATGTTTCCAGTGGACATTGGCCAGTTCTCAGTTTACAAGGCCTATGGACAACACTGGACAGTTACTCTTTCTACCCACCCTCTGGGATTCTATACTTTATGGCTTTTCCTCCTAATTCTCCACTATTCATTTCAACCTCCATGATGGTTCTTGTTCCAAAGACCCAAGCTTTGGGAAATTCATCACTATGCCTTTAGATCATCTGTCACATTCTTTCAATCCTCGCCACTTTCAAAACTACTGCATTTTATTATTTATTCTGGAGATACAGTTTTGCTGTATCAATCAAGCAGGTCTTGAACTCTTTTCCTCCTGCTCAAGATCCAAACCCAGATCTAGTTTCAAGACTTTACCAAGACAATAGCCTGTTAAATGTTACTGAATCCATCTAATCCAGATCTGTGCTCTCAAATCTAGGACCATGCCTAACCACCAATGGAGTTCTAGAAGTCAGCTCCATGTGGCCAAAATGATTTTTAACTTAATCTTCTCTGCCACACATCAAGACAATCTCTGTCTCTGTCTCTGTCTCTGCCTCTCTCTTTCTCTCTCTCTCTCTCTCTCTCTCTCTCTCTCTCTCTCTCTCTCTCTCTCTCTCTCTCTCTCTCTCTCTCTCTCTCTCTCTCTCTCTGTCTCTGCCCAGCTTTGGAGCAGTTGAGAAAGTCTCTAGCACTAGTCATGTTATATGGGAAGTTGAGGATGATATAAGGAGACTGTATTTATGTAGCACATACTACCTTCTCTTGTGATGTGTGACCAAGGTTTAGAGTCAGTAATGCTAATGAGATAGGTGCTTTTGGCTCTAATGGTATTTAATTTGGTATAGTTTGAGCTAAAAGAGACTTAAGTACATGAAGATGCTACTGAAATTAGGGCAAGGTGCTTAAGCATATTGATCAGCAAAACCATCACTCAATTCAAACCATCAGTTGCTGTATTGCAAGTGCACTTGCAAACTTTTACCTATGTCTCTGATAAGTATTGCTACCATGTGTTCCCCTTGGTCTGGTGTCTTCCTATCTACTTTATTATTATGTTCTGTCTTCAATGTCCCAGCAAGTTCTGGCCATTCTGATCTGAATCTTCTAATAGCATCCCTAGTTAACACGTCATATATAAATCTTTAGATGTTAGACATCCATGAAATATTTTACTATTCATCTTCAATAAATAATAGTGGGCAGGAAAGTTGATTGAATAAGAAATCTATATGACTTTATGTTAATTATCTGAAATAATGCAAAGAATGAATCTTGGTGCATTTATTACCTCTGCATGTAGTTTGTAATTTGCATTGCTATGTTCTTCTTCATCTTTAAACATGTGATTTCGGACCTTTTCCAGGGTAGTTCGAATCTGGAAGAAAAAAATGGTTAATTTTTTTATAAGACATTTAATTCTAGATGAATTTTTCTTTCTGTATACCAGTTACAGTGCACTTTATTTAGGTATATATCCAGATGTCACATTTAAATATTAGTCTCCAACCTAAATTATATTTAAGTTAATATCATTTAGGTTAATGAAAATAAGTGTTTTTGTTTTATATCTCTTTTTCAGATAAACCTAAAATGTGACAAAGAAAATTAAATAATATATACTACAAAACAATTTAGTACTTAGTACTTTAAAACTGTGCATTTTGTTCACTTTTATCTATAATTTAGCACTAATTTAGTGTTTAGTAATTACTAAAAGACAATTACTACTTATTAATCACTACAAAAATCATATAGTAATTACTACAAAATAATTACTACATATTAATTACTACAAAATAATTATGACAGAGAATCCCTAAGAAATGATCATACAAATTTATGCATGAATTTTGAGTTCCAGTCTTGCTGACCTGCTGAATTACTAGACAGCTCCAGATAATTTAATTAGCTGATCTGGACAGAACTTTTTCATCTATTATTACAGTTTACGTAAGTATCCTTTCTTAGCTCTTTTCCTGGTAGATTTCTCATAAGTTACATTATTAATGACATCACTTGCAGAGTAGTCACTGGCATTAGCTAGCACTTAGGGACCAGGTGAGGAAAGAGAGCTAGAATCAGCAGGAAACATAAACATCTACTTGGGAGCACAGCATCCACATTCAGGAAACCACCAGGGAAGGTCATAAAACAGCAGGAAATCCAGCAGCGAGTGGTGGGGTGTGAATTAAATGCTGATAGGTGTACTGAACCGTCCTGGCCATTACTCAGTTCTACCGAGTGGAGAAAATCATTTTACTTCCCATGCAGGCACAGGTTTATATTCTAAAGAAGAAATGACTAGCCATGTTTAAATATAAGTTGTCAGCTGTCCTAAGTCAAGTGAGGTTCGCCCCTTTCCATGCATTGCATGAATGAGGACACAAAGCCCACTGATGCGTACTGGTGCTCATCATAAAAAAATAAAAACTGTGATATGCCCTCATACCTTTTTCACATACTCAGTTTCTTCAATAATGTGAGCTGACGACGGTCCATACGAGACAGAGTTGCCTTCTGTCTTACCTCTTGGGGGGACTTCTGTGGTCACCGTTACAGTTGTCATTGTGAGTTCTGACCTCAGGAAAACATAAATCATCAGCTCAGCAACACAGCATAAAGGAGTTTTGTCACAATCAAAGCTTTACTATCAAATTTTTAGTATCATCTTAAACTGAAGAATCTCTTGAGCAGGGCCCTGTTTTATTCACTTTATGTTACAGTGCAATGTACATGCTCAGTAAATGTCCGTGGAACTAGAAATATAGCCATAATCAAACTGTGTGTGCAGATCCTAGAGAACCTTGATAAGGTCTGTTTATCAAAAGACCCTCTAATGGAAAGGAAATATGAAAAAATACAAATGCACTTGAATGAGATTGGTAATTAGATTGTCATTGGGGAATATCATTTACATTGTATGATTCAATTAAAAAACATGAACAGAATGAATATACAATATCATGCTTTCTTATTTTTTTCAAAAAGAGGTGGCTAATATGAATGAAGAGAAATTTCAACTCACAGCTTTGACAAAGTAAGTTTAGACCTGCCTGAGTTTCAGAATGAGATCCTGACTAAGACACACACATACCCTCACACATACACTCACACACACACACACACACACACACACATACACACACACACACACAAAACACACAGGAATATATACACATACATACAGAAACACATGCACACACACAGAAGCATATACACACATACAAACACACACACACACACACACACACCCGAGAACATGAACACAACCACACAAGAGGGAAAGAGGAGGAGTGAGCAGACACTGTGATTGGTATTCTGATCACTGTACACAGTCACATTCCAGGTGAACAGGCTGTGTGTACTCTAGATACCACATCCTCCTATGGAGAAGCTGAATCTTGGGTGATTCAGGTTGAGGACACAAAGCCCATAAAACTAAGCATGACAGGTGATCAAATACTGTTTGAATAAAGTGTGGAAACCATCATAAATGACTGTGATGAACTGAATAATATCAAAAATCCTAAATTCTTGAACTTATAATAAATGAAAACTTACTATTGCCATGGTCTTCATTATCTTCCCCCCACCCACCCCTAAAAGCTGCTGAGCTAACAACTGGATGGACATGGGACAAAGCCAGAAAAAAGAAAAAGACATAGTAAGTGCGTGTCACCTCATTAACATATTAACTGTATTTTTTCAGTAACTAAGTAGTTAGTAATGGAAAGGTTTTATGGTATGTCGGCTAATAAATTCAAAGGAATTGATAGACTTAGGAAAAGTAGCATTTTTAACTGCCTACAAAGCAATGGATCTCAAAGAATCCTCAAGCTTATCTAAGAACACCATTAAAAAGTTTAATGAGGAACATTACAGCCTGAGGGGCTTCAATACTCAGGCATCCTTGTAACTAAGTCTTCTACAGATTGAGTCTGGGGCTGGGAAATGGGTCAGTGTTAGAGCACCTGCTTCTCTGAAAAGGATCTAGATTTGGTTTCCAGCACCTACATTAGCAGCTCACAACCCCCTGTGACTTCAGTTCCAGGGAATCTGACACCCTCTTCTGGCCTTCCCAGGCATCTGCTTACATGGGCTACACATACAGACAGGAATCTGCATACATGTGCTATACATGCACATAGGCACATACATACACATAAAATAAAAAAATTTAAAGGAAGTTTTTAAAAATAATCTTAAGAGACATACAGCCAAATATAATTGATGAATCCTGTCAGTAGGTTTATGTAATTTTGATTTTGTTTGTTTGTTTTAGATTCACTGGAGAAAGCTTATAGTGAAGAATTCTTATCACATACTGAGAAGTAGCTCATTTGATAAAGTGCTTGCATTACAAACATGAGAAGCTGAAATCAACCTCACTGAATCCAAGGAAAAAGCCAGGCATGTTGGCACTCTTTGGTAACCCCAGCATTTCAGAACTAAGAAAATCTCTAAAGATCACAGGCTAACCAACCCAGCCTATTTGGCCAGGGTTGAGCCAATGAAAAAGTCTGTCTCAAAAAATATATATAGATAAATAAAAATTGGGCAGTATCTGAGAAATAACAGGTCTTCTGACCTCCACCTGCATGCACACGCATGCACACACCCATGCACCTACACAAACATGAACAGGCACATACATGTGCACACACGCATGAAGAACCATTTATGTTTCTAAACTTGAAGGAATGAAGACATCCTTTTAGAGAAGTATGTCTGTTAGAGACACTTGCTGGGATTTTTTTTGTGGGTAAAATGATGATAATAGGACCTGCTATGGAGTGCTAAACAGTAAAGATGGAGAAGATGTAGTTTGAATAAGATGTAGTTTGAATGAGAACCACATTCATGTCTTGTTCAAAAGTTTGGCCAACTATAGGTGGCTTGAATCTACAATGTTCACCCCCACAGGTGAGCATGTGGCACTTAGCTGATGTCAGTGATTTGGAAGGATACAGAACCTTTACATGACTTTGGGCTATGCTGTAGCCAGGCTTCTCTTTTGATACAGCTCTCCACTTCCTGGTCTGGTCTCCAAGCAAGAAACTCTAGCATTGGAACTCCCACCAGTCACCAAAACTGTGGGCCAAGATAATGTACCCTCCTTTAAGTTGGACCTCAGACAATGTGTCACCCGGATGAGAAAACAAACCAATAGAAAATAAGCTACAATAAATTCTATGTGTAGAATGTGAGTATAGAATTGTTAAACTTTCTCTATGAATTAGGAATCTGGACTACCACAGTGATGTCAGTTTACCTAAGATCACAGTAAAACTAGCAGAGATAAAGCTCAAACCCTGGTCTTTTTCACCCCGAGTGCAAGCACATTTCCACCCCATTCAGACTGTCTTCCCTAGAAAGAAACAAAATGCTTAAAATATAGCAAGGACCCGTGCCGCTAAAAGGCAGAGAGAATTTTTATATTGACCCACACCACGTTGAAAGAAGATTGCCTCCGGGGAAGGCACAAAGCCCTGAGTTTATCCTTTAATCTTCAATGAAATTGACAGGGCATGCCAAGAATTTTCCATTTTATTGCAAATCCTCTCAGAAGGCAGCAACCGTTCTCTTTGTTTCAGGAGAACTCAATTTGGCAGCATCAACTCCGCAAGTCTACTGTGTGGAACGACATGGAAGTACTTCCCTCTCTTGAGCCTCCAAAGTCTGTTCCTGGATTAGGGACTTGGTCCACAACATTTGAATGCTCAAAGAAAAATAAAACCCCTTAGAGACAGTAAGCAATGTGTTCAGAAACTTGAAGAAGGTGATCAGCAATCTATACTTTTGCCTTCTTTCTGGTCCCCTCTCCCTGCACAGCCTGTAAACTCAGATTATTCTTATATTTTTAATGCTTCCAAATAATTCAAAAGTGTATCATCTCATGAAATGTGAAATGTATGTGAAGTTGAAATTTGTAAGCATGAAATTCAGAAAAAGAAACGTAGCCTGAAATTCGAAACATAGTCAAGTTCATGTTTTGTGCACCTGTTCCTCTGGCTGGTGGTACTGTTTCGGGTGACTATGGAAGCTTTGGACAGTGAGGTATAGCTGGCAGGTGTAGGTGAATAGAAGCGACTCTCTGAAGGCTATTAATCACCCCCTTTCCTACTCACTCTCTGTTATCAGGTCTGCCGTGCTGTCAGGAGCCTCTACCCAGTGCTCCTGCTGTTCTACATTCCCGCCAGGATGTACTGAAATCTCAGAATAGACCTTTCTGTCCTTACTTTGTCTATAGTGACAGCAATACTAAAGTAACTAGCAGTGACCATATATGAAGTTTTGCTATAACGCAGCTGTGGCTGTTGCTGGCATATAGTCCCTGATACTTTGGCCCTACAACAGCACAGGTGAGCATTTACCACAAAAGCAGTACACAACAAGCAAAACTAAAATCGTTACTGTCTGTCCATTTCCAGAAGACAAAAAAAAAAAAAAGTCTGCCGATGCATCATGGCACAGCAGGGAAAGGGAGCTGTGGCAGTGGGCAATTGGAGGCAAGCAAAGCCACTGCCCAGCTAGGGCCGAGTTCTTTCCTCCACTGCAACACTGCAACTCACTTCTCCACACTGTTGCTGAGTTATTTTCAACGTCCTTTTTCATATTGTATGCATTGTGTACATGAATTTCATCACTAAACTTGAATGTTAGGGAAAAAATCCCCCTGCTTTCTTCATTCTTTCTAATATCACAATCACATTGGGCCCAGGGCATAGATACTATGATATATTTTATTCTTCACAATTAATTCCTAATAACAATGATATCTTCACCTCAATCCCTGATAAGTGATCCTTAATCACTTTCTCTCAAAACCACCATCCTCCCTGCATGGTAGTAGTAAAAGTTACATAAAACTTTACCTGAATTTATATATATATATATGTGTGTGTGTGTGTGTGTGTGTGTGTGTGTGTGTGTGTGTGTGTAAAATAAGGGGGAAAATCCTTCAAGCATCAATGTTACTGCACATCTTGTTTTATATTCCTAATAACCTCAGAAGACTAGCCATCCATAACAACAGAGAAAGGTCAGACGCCTGTGGTTTGAAAGCTTTACATCCAACAGTATCTATATGAAATTAAATTCCATTTCTCTTTGGCTCAGGAAACCTTTATGCTGACAGCCCCTAAGTGGAATAAAGAAATCCAAGATAGGGTGGCAGGGGAAGGAGGCAGGGAGCGACATAGCAAAGTCCAAGCAGCCATATGGCATTATCATCCTGTTAGCATTTTATTTCAGCCAGAAGTAGATTAGACAGATAAAATTTTCAAAATAAAACACAATCAGTTAATTAAAGTGAGGAAAGGCTTTATTTGTTTTATACTAGCATGGATTGAAGACAGCTCCCATGTGGCCCCATGCCAAGAGGAGGTATTTCCTATACCGGGCCTTGTAAACAAGGCAGCCAGGGGTGCTGGGCAGACAGTGCTCTGGCCTCTCATCCTCAGCCAAAGCAGCATCGCTTTGTCTTACCACACAGTAGCCTCCCTAGAGCTTCCAGTGACTGAAAAGGGTTCTGTAGCTAAAAAGTTTGGAGGGAGCTCTCCTAGCTTCATCAC